ATAGACGTACTAGAACTAGCAAATTATATATTATTAATCTTACTTCTGTATTTCTTTAGGCTAAAGCTAGAACTCGTAGGAATCTAGTTCTCCGCCTAGTACTAACTAGTATAGCTACTTATCCTATTAATAGTTAATCCCTCTATAAACTGCTTAAGCTACCTATTAACAGTAGACGAAACTTCTAAGAACTACCGGTTTCTGCTCTTTAGGCTATCTAAGCGGAGCTATATAGGATCTAATACCTTATTATTAACGAGAAGTCTATAATCAGTCTAGTATAGCTCAAAATAATCGAATTGCGGCTCTCTTAGGTATATAGTAGCCTATTACTATTCGGCGGTATAAATATTATACTTCTTAGCGATTTCTTCTAGTTACTATTAGTCGCTAGATTGCTTCTCTTTACTACTATTAACCTTAACGTCCTTAAGTATACTATCGATCTTAGCGGCCGGAACGATTACTATACTTTCAACTACACTATCGAACTTATACGGTTAACAAGGCAATAAGGCAATATATAGGCAGCATTCCGTAAAGCCCTTAAAGGGCTATGTCTTAAGGCTATCGACTATTGTAATTAGTAGCTCCTTACCTCTCGAGTAGGCTCTGTTATTTTAACCTACGAACGATATCCATTTAACGATACTACCTATATCTATTCTACTAATAGTAGTGTTAGGGACTTTAATAACCAACGATTGACCGTATTATATACCCTAGTTCTTAGGTTAAAGGTTAAGTACGATAATTAGAATATCGGACAACGCGCGTCTGTTAATAAGTATAGTTAATTAGAGGCAGAGATTAAGGTATTAATTAGCTATAAGATTACACTCCTTTAGAATATATAGACTAAAGCCGGCTTAGTTAATAGTACTACTAGATTCCTTTACAATATCGAATAGGCTATCGGAACGACAACCCCTTGCGAAACGCTGCCTTACTATCTTATTATTAGAATTAAGAAGACTAATTATACTAGACTCAAGCTTTAAGAGATCGTAGGGGATTATATAACTATCCCTATCTTCCGCGATAAGAGAGCATTCTTCTATAGTAGAAACGAGTATTATCGTAAACAACTCCCTATCTATGTAGTATTCGTAATAACAGTATATAAAGCGTAAGGTAGAATACTCGACAGGGCTTGAATTAGTATAATATACAAGGAATTTACGCTAAGATTGCGGTATATAGCAGTTTCTAGAGTAAAGACTATTAACAATCTTATATTTAAGAACTTCTCGCTCTTTACTAATTGCCTTAGACCTACTAGTATTGCTCGTATTGCCGATATCGAACGCCGCTAAGGACAGCGCCTACTACCTAACAATACTAGCGGCAAAGACACTTAAGATACGTATATTTAGTCTCGCTAGACTACCTACGATTCTTAATAATATAGCTCTATTAACGAGCTTATAAATTAGTGCCTAGATAAAGATTATACCGTAGGTCTAGGTAATACCGGCCTCGAATTTAACATGAATAACTTCATTCGGTTAGGTAGGCAGAGGTAGACGCCCTGCTCGAGATAATAAAAACGAACTAATAATAGCTAGCGGGCTCGGTAAAGAGACATAGTAAGAGCAAGGACATATAGGTAGTAGTAACTCGCTTAACTTCAACGAGAATAACTTCATTCGGTTAGGCAGAGGTGTCTAAGACGGCCTATACGAGATAATAAGGATAAATTGATAATAGCCGGCGTCCTAGGTACAGACATACAGTAAAGGCAAGGCGATAAGGACAATAAATGCGGAGGCTACTATCATTAGCGTTATTCGGATAGCGTAGTAAAGTCGATAGGTTTTTAGCGCCTATATAGGGTATATAGGGCATATAGGACGATAGCGATAAGAACACTACCGACAGTAGGCTTTGATTCGATAGACTAATACAGACTAGAGATATACCCCCATTTATGTATATAAATACGAAGATAGTGCCAATCGTCTTAGAATCAAAAGATCGCGCTGTATAAAAATTGCTAATACATGACTTTTATATATGCACGTCGCGTATATGGAATTCGTAGAATTCCGACGTTCCGCGTATATTTAGGTACGGTACACAATCTACGCGGAGGGTATAAACTAAATTCCGGCGGAGAAGACGGGCCCGCCTGTAGGACATATTTAATATGTCTGTAGTAATAATTCTTACTACAAAATTAACTATATGGAGTATATAGTATAATGAAAACGGAGTTTCCTATCGCCCGCGCGGCATTCAAATACTATCTAGATTACTTACTTATAAGAGCGGAATCAAAAAGTAAGGTATAAACTAGCGTATATAAGAGGTAGCGATACTGTACTTTACATTTAGGGAAAGTTTAGTATAGAAATACGGAATATACAGGGCAGTAAACAACGGAGGTCTATATAGCTCGCGATAAAGATCTAAGGGTAAAAAGCCAAATTGTAAGGGTATAGATACAGGAGAATCTATTAGACAGTAGTATATTTCAGGAAAAGACAGTTTACCTTTCTCCTCTGTTAAATTCTAGAATCGATCTAGATCTAATGTTGATTATAAAAGATCATTAAACCAACTACTAGCTAACCGATTCTATTAACGGCGGCCTACGCTAAGCTTTACTCTATACTAGGTAGCTCTCCGTCGTATCTCTCTATCTCGTCTCTCCGTCTCTCGTCTCCCTATCTCTCCTCTCTACGTCCTTATCCCTTGGAATCCAATAAAAATTTTAGTTGTATAAGCTTATAGACCTTGTTTTAGAGTATTCTAGAACTCTGGAAAAACCTGTGTTCTTATCTCTAAAGGTCTTTGGAACTACTTATACTCGTGCTTATGTCTCTAGAAATCCTTTCAAACTGCTTATACCATCACCTCTATAAATCTTTGGAACCGCTTGTAATTATATCTCTAGAGATTTTTCGAGCTACTCGTATCTTGTCGCTTTCTATTCTAGTCCTTAGAGATTCTAGTCTGAAGAAATCTAAAACTGCGAAATAATCTTATCTCTAGAAACATCTGGATCTATCGTTTAAGAGTTACAAAGGTTGTAATAAGTCTCTCCTGGCTAAAACAGGGTCGCCCCTAAAGCATAGGACTGCGTTTAATAATCATAGAATACTATCGTTTCCTTCTAATAATAATAACCACAATAGCGACGAGGATATTATCAGACGCCGCTAGCTTGACTACAATCAATTGTAGCACCACTATATCAGCTTACATAAGGATCTATCTTCTCTTGACATACCCTTGATTTTCGTCTATAAAGCAGCGTGTTTAAGAGGTAGCGCAAGTCTACTGTATGATTATGTTCTGTTAGTATCGAGAGGCAGTACTTACAGCGCAGTAGCGTGCGGAACTAAATAGGCTGTTTATACGCGAGTCTAGAAATTGACATCTCCTTAATTTTAGAGCAGAAACTATAGAATAACGTCTACAAGGTAGCTCATATAAGAGGTAACGCTTACGCATCTTCTAGGAAACTCTGGAAACATATCTCTAGGTAGCTAGCTATACGTAAGTATACAGCTTTCGCTCTATTAGTGACTAGACTCTAGGATGTTCCAGGTTTCTTGATTATCAATTATCTTCTCTTAAGAGATTCTATTCTATTCCTGAATACTTCTAATAACTTGTAAGCGCTTATACGTACTATAGAGTAAATTTACGCGTATAGAATCTTCTAGTTCTACTATAGAGAAGATACAAGCAAGGACCTATAGATTTTCCTCTGTATAAAATTCTTATACTAAATATCTTATTTTCTCTTTAATCTACTCCTATCCCTTCTACTGCTATTGTGCCTACAATAAATATCTTACGCTAAGATAAAATGAGTTTCACCCTATCGATTTTTAGGATCGGCTTCTTCTCTAGATGTCGGATTAGTTGAGAGTATAACTGCCAGCATTCTATATTCTATATCTATAGCATTTAACTGGATATTAGGTACTTAGAGAAGCTCAAGGTTCATTTTTATAGCCTCTATAATCATTAGAGGTGTATTATTCCCTCATTTATTAGCTGAATTATTGCCTACTGATCTTAGCGTAAACGATAATCGAGCTTACTATCACAAAGAGGCTCTAGAATAGAGTACTCTACTTTTCGGGAATATTAGTATTATAGGAATACCAATAGCACCCTTCAAGATAGGCAGTAGAACGTAGTATATAGAAGAAGTTATCTTTATATCAATATGTAATTATTATGGCACCGTATATCATATATGTCTCTATGAATATAGCTGAGAAGTGTACTCTCTAGAGCTTACTTCTTTTCTGGACAATCGTAGCCTCTTAATATCTAGTGATAGGAACACTGGCATTTCTAGAGGCTACAACTACCTACCTCTAGAGATTAGTAATGATTTTTCGGCATTGCATTTTCTAGTATGTATATCTTTGCCACTTTACAGTGACCTCTTTTTTAGTTCAAATGTTTAGCATCTAAGCTATAACAAACTGCATAGGCAATTCTTGACTATATAATTGATTGTAGGGTTAAAGCATTGCATACATCTATAGAGACGTATATAAGCTACCGGAGCTGACTGGCATTTGTTTCGTCTAGAAGATATAGAGCTTATCCCTACACTGCGAATGTTATAGCTCAGGATCTCTACGCAGTACAACAGATCGAGCTCTTAGTGTGCCAGCTAGGGAAGTTTCGCAAGTAGGTAGCTATAGCACTCCGCTCTCAGAAGATACAGAGACTCGAGATGATTACTCGTCTCTACTTTGTACTTCTCGTCTCTACCTTGTACTTGACAACTCACTTTGTACTTGTCGAATCTACTTTGTACTTGTCAACTCTATTAGCTATAGATACTGACTGATACAAGCTCTTCTTAGCCCAACATAAGTTCCTGGTCAATGTAGCTCGCCTAAGCTTGGCCGAGGAGCTGCCATGATAAGCTTTGTGTACAAGCTGGGGAAGTCCTGTGAAGCTTGAGTCGGGGCTGACGGCGGTATAAGATGTTGCCGGCCGGCGGTAGTATCCCTTCTTCTGTCTGGAATTCTGCTCGTCTCTCCATTCAATATGGCTGAACAGACTTGGCCGGCCTGGCCCGAGTGCACGGTTGACGACGCTGAGACGGGAGATGATCTGGTCCAGTACAAGAAACTCATTGTTGACAAGTACGGCCAAGAAGCCTTGACGAGGAGCTGGCTGAAGACTTGTGAGGAGTTGGAGGCATTGACCACCCGAGTATCTCGGCTTGGAACAGCAGCTGTGCCTGTGGTCCAATTCGAAGATCTGTTTATGATCTCGCAAGAGCGCAAGAGCGAATTGAAAGCCACAGGTTGTTTCAAAGTTGCCGGCGTCGTGGCAAAGGACCAGGCTACCGAATGGTTCCGGAATCTCAAGCAATATGTCGCAATGAACAAGCAGTCCATCAAAGGCAAGGTTCAAGTCTAATCATGAAGGGTGGGTGAAGCAGCGTAGTAGACTGATGTTTCACAGGCTGGCCGAGGGAGACACCTTTTATCCTCAACCTCTACTATTCGCCTTCTCAAATGGCGGCACGCTCGCACCCGAACATACTGAAGCTGAGTCGCGAGCTGAACAGCTGGTGGCACAGCTCCGGCGAGGCTGCGACAGATGAACCTCTGTCGTATGCCGATGGGGTACGCATCCGGCCTCCAGGAGTGCCATTTCCCGGACTTGGTCCCCATATCGACGCAGGTAGCTTGGCAAGATGGGCGGATCCAACGTACCAGGCATACTATTCCGCAGTATTCTCGGGACATCCGGAAGACATGGACAACTATGATCTGAGCCTGCGTCAGAATGCTGATCAAGCTGTTTTCTCTGGTAAGAAAACGTCGAGGACAAGTAGGGAGGAAGAATAGAACGGGATGGAACGGCACTGACGATGACCACTCCAGGCACTGCTCATTCGACAGTGTTCAGATCCTTTCAAGGCTGGACTGCATTCAGTCCTGCAGCACCTGGCGAGGGGAGTCTGATGCTTTACCCCAACGTGAAGTGGCAGACCGCATACCTGCTGCTCCGGCCGTTCTTTAAACCGCCAGAGGATCCCGAAGATGTTCTAGATGCCTCCAAATGGACATTCGATGCCGAGACTCCCTGGTTTCCTGGCACGTCCAAGGGAGACAGCCAGCTGCTGAGTCCTTCATCACACCCTCATCTGCGACTCAAGGAGTGCATGGTCCCTATTCCTGCCATGGAGCCTGGCGATACAATCTGGTGGCATGCTGACATCTGTCACGCTGTTGAGATAGACCACAAGGGTAACAACGAAGCCTGCGTGGCGTATATTGCCGCCACTCCATCTACGGAGCAGAATAAGCGGTATATGAAGCAACAGCTACAGGACCTGAAGACTGGAGTTCCGCCACTCGATTTTCGTCATAATGAGTGCGCTAACGAGAGGACCTTTTGTGGATTCGAGGGTGAAGCTTCTGTCCTCAGCGACGAAGGGAGAAGGGCGCTTGGATTTGGCTTGGTGTAGTGCTAGCAGAGCGAAGGTCGAACACCTCCCGGTATGCAGCATCTATATGCAAGAGAAAGAGTCCAGCTCTTGATACTGCTGCGCAAGTCGCAAGGCGTGTCCGGCCTCCGGCCACATGTGAGGCCCCAGGATGTGAGAAAGGTTTCTCAAGTAGGTGGTAAATCCATTCCCGGCCAGAAAACGTCCTGCCAGTCGATCCAAGTACCGCCGATCTGATCCATAAAGTTGAAATCAACCTCGGGATGATTGAGAAAGTCCTGTAATGGAGGATTCGGCAGTGGCGTAGATGAAGTTGTCGTGCCGTTGCTCATTCCAACAGTAGCCACTCCACCTTGACCGAGTCCAGCAGCCGCATCAATGTTCTCGTATAACGTGATCTTGAGTGCATCAACATGCGTGCAAAACTCCTTCGCCCCAAAGTTCCCGCTTCGTTCAAGCTGTCGTAGAAACGTGCCGGCTAGGAGGAAGTCCTCACGGTCATTCGCCCAGCCAGAGCCTTGCAGCAGCGCTGATAGTACCAAGACTGTCGCCGAGGAGAAGAGAAATTGCATGTGAAAGTAGTCAAAGGTGGGAAAGGTGCCCTCAGCCCACGCTTGCTTCAGCAGAGCCATGGACTGCCGAGCGCATCGGATACAGGCCGTGGTCAACGACAATGCCGAGTCGGGAAAGTTCTGCGCAGGAGTGCTGTCGTGTGCGAGATGTGGTCGGCGTTGCTTGAAGAGATGTAGCAGAATCGGTCTGGTAGTCACAATCACTGCTTGGTTGAAGGCCAAGTGCAGATATAGCACATGGTTCTCCGGGTTCGTCACAGCATCATCTCCTACGTTCAATTTCAAATGGTCTGGTAATCCATCGGCCCAGTCTCGCAAGGCTCGAACGGCCGCTTGCACGCGTTCCGAAAAGGACGTGGGCTGTCGCTTTCGCACGTACAGAGTATTGACAGCGTTGTTGAGCATTCTGGCAAGACGGACGGACATGATGACATACTCGAAGTCTTCAAAGTCACCACGGACCTCTTGCGAGAGACCTGTATCCGAAGGGAGTCCAATCTCGATACTGTCGTCGGGAATGGAGGGTGGCCAGCCGATCTTCGAGGCCCAAAGTCGATCGAATCGATATGCCGTCCACCACAGACGACATCGATGTTCTCGCATGACTGGGTCACGCAGCTGCGTCTCGCCGACCTCGATGTGGAGGCCGAGGATGATGCACAGTCGAAGGGCATGGCTGGCGAGAAGAATGGCCGTATGTCGTCGATTCATGGAGGAGGCATATAGGGCCTGCGATCTCGTCAGTCTGGGGCTTTCACACTGCCGGCGGGAAGATAGGAGTAATCAGGTACCATCAGGAGATGCACTTCCACCAAGTCCAACTTCGGTCGTTCGCATGGCATATGTGCAAGTTGCATGGCTCGGGCCCAGTACTGCGCGCCTGGGAACGGCTCATTCGGAAGCACACATCGCGAGGAGAAGGCCTCTCCGAGGGCAAGCAATGCCCAGATGCGGCACTGAAGAAGCCAGTCGCACGACGTGGGATTGGAAATCAGCTTTTGCACATCTTCTTGCACGACACTTGGTCTCGAAATGTGCCAGTTCTTGCACGTCGTCTTGAGCGCGACGTCGACGAGAAAGCGCAGTCTGGAGGCGCTCGGCAGCTCGATCGGCTGGTCTGCAAAGGCGCGCAGGGTATCATCGCTCATATAATGCACGCGTGGGATATGGCTGACTGCGGACGACGATGCCGCCTGTCGCAGACGAGTCGCAAACGCAGCATCGGCCGCTTCTCCGACGTGGATGGGAAGATCGACATTCTTGAATGAGACAAACCAGGGACGTTCTTCAATCAACGGGTTTCTGTCGGCATTATCTGCTCTTGGTTCGGATGGAGTCTGCTCGGTCGCTAGAGCTGCTGCGCCAGGCGTGCTCAGAGTAGACACCAAAGCAGCGAGACGCTTGTTCTCTGCCTCGAGCCCGTTGAGATATCGCTGACCGACCTTGACTTTCTTATTTCGGACGGGATATATGCATTCGAGGTTCGAGTCCGCACAGCTGGAACATGGCGGACCTTTGCCGGTGCATTTGACTTTCTTCTTGTGGCATTCCTGGCAGCTATCCTCCCCTCCCTCATTAATGGTCGAGGAAGATATAGACGAGGCTCAGGAGATGTTCACTCACGCAATAATACGCTTTTGAGGCGTCGTGGGCTCAGTAGACAACGACATTTTCTAGACCTCCGCCTGAAGTAAACAGCTTCGGTAAGCAGGATGGCAAGCCGTGGCGATGGGAGACTTATTCACCGAGAAGAGTGGAGACGGCCGGATTCATCCGCAGCGTTCAAGCGAATCGTTGCCGTTGCCATTGCCATTGCCATTGCCAAGAAATACCTTTACCTGGAATGATGGAAATGGCATCCAGAAGAAGAAGAAGACTCGACTGTTGCCCCTTAAGGACTGTCATTATGTTGAGCTGGTTACTAGCAGCAAGACGGGGACTCTATTCACTTCTACAACAAAAGCACGACTACACCTCATCAACGACTCCCGTATCCTCTACATCATCCATCTTCAGCCTAGGAGGCCTTACCTTAGGCTATAATGCCTCAAGAAGTGCAAGATTTTCCCATCAATTCTCGTCACGCCTGGATGCCTCGTCACAGTGTCAAAGGCCGCCGAGGTTCGTTACGATGGACCTGCGCTGAAGTACGGTGATGTCTTACGCCGTAGGAGAATCATGTTGATAGAAGTACTACGCCTTGGCGGTAGTCTTTACAACACGACTATCTGCCTAATGCTGCGCGCGATCCGCAGGTGGTAAGTGACCGGATCTGGTGCGGTCAACTATAACCCCTCTCTGTAACAATGTAGCTCTCCGAGGCCGACGGCGCTGTCTTATCAACTTCGAAAGTTTACAACATCAGATGGAAATACAACAACCACGCGACAAGGGGCTCGATTGGCTGCTATTTGACTTGTCTAGGTCTCATAACCCAGGTATATCCCCGCGATGCTCTCATCTCCAGCCACGTGAGTTTCCACGAGTGATTTGCCTAATCGTCTCCAGTAAAGATCCTATATATCTCGAATCTATACGCTGTGAAGACTACTAGATACCGCCGCTGCCTCGACCCACATCTCACGACGACCATCCGAATATTTAGGAATCGTATCGACAGAGCACTACCCAGTGGAAGCTACCTGTAGACTCTCCATAGCACCACTTCTCCGAATGCAGGGTCAAGCAACCAACATCTTCTTATTGCAACTCGCCAGGAATTGGGACCAAAGAGAGGATTCCTGACAGTCGACTGCAAGGTGGCAGCACTGGGAGAGAAAATTTCATCACCATGGACACCAAAATTGTCCTTGATTCCGCCTTGATCGCCAGCTCGAAAGCGACAACTCGCCGCGAACACACGCTCACCATCCGCCAAGCCTTGGTCAAGCACCGCACCGCCGTTCTCTGGGCCATTCTCTTCTGTCTGCCCAATGTGATCATCGGCTATGAACCCACTATTGTGGGAACTCTCGTAGGCGTGCCAGCCTTTCGCAAGAAATTCGGATATGAGCATCCAGTCGGCTCGGGGACATACATTCTCGCTCCATCGTGGATCTCCGCCTTTGCCTACGCCCCTGCCATTGGATACATGCTCTCGGCTCTATGGAGTGGTTGGTGTGTGGATCGCTTCGGACCCAGGAAGACACTGATTGTGGCCATGACACTCTCGTTTGCCACTCTCTTGCTCGAGGTGCTGGGGAACAGTGCGGCCACCATCTTCGTTGGGGATCTGCTGACCGGCCTGCTTGTGGGCGGTTGCCCGGTTCTCGGCCCTGCATACATCTCGGAGATCCTGCCGGTGTGTTTGCGTGGAATTGGTCTCTCCTGCAATAACCTGTCTCAAGTGCTGGGCTCGCTGATTGGCATTGTGGTTCTGCGAGGAACAGAGAGCCGGAGTGACAAGTGGGCGTATAAGATCCCATTCATTACGGAATATGCATTTCCCCTGATCTTCGTCGTGGGTGCGTATCTGGCGCCGGAGACGCCATGGTCTCTCGCGAAACGAGGTCGATTTGAAGAGGCAAAAAGGTCTCTCCAGCGGACGGGCTACCAGGACGAAGTGGAGGATACCCTGGCTCATATCAAGGAAACAATCACTCTGGAGTCCGAATTATCAGCGAGCACCTCGTATGCGGACTGCTTTCGAGGCACGAATCTTCGACGTACTGCAATCTGTGCCATTGCATATAGTGGTCAATTCTTTTGCGGCATCAATCTGGCGGCATCTTATTGCACATACTTCTTCCAACTGGCCGGCCTCTCCACGGACCGATCGTTTGATCTCTCCTGTGGTCTGTTCGCTCTCGGCGTGGTCGGCAACATCCTCTCCTGGCCATTAATGACGATATGGGGCCGAAGAGATGGCTATATCTGGACATGCAGCCTCACCACGCTCCTGATGTTCATTGTGGGCTTTCTCGGTCTGGCCTCAGACTCCAACAAAGGCGCCATGTACGGCAAAGCAGTCGGGCTGCTCCTGTTCAACTTTGTCTACAACATTGGCCTGGGCCCCATTGTCTATGTTCTCATTGCCGAGCTTCCGAGCACGAGAATCCGCGGAAAAACGCTGGGCATCGCATGTTTCGTACCCCATGCCTTTTATATTTCGATCACCGCCGGCCTGCCGTACGCCATGGATCCCGCCAAAGCTGGCTGGGGCGCGAAAGTCGGATTTCTGTTTGGTGGTCTCAGTACCTTGGTCGTTCTCTGGGCATTCTTCTATCTTCCCGAGAGCAAAGATCGAACTTTTGAGGAGCTCGATGTGCTCTTTGAGCGCAAAGTCTCTGCTAGGAACTTCGCTCGGACCGATCTGACAGACTTTGATCGCACTGAAGTCATGAATGGCACCGTGGTGGTTGAGGAGTCTGTTGTGGAGATGAAGCACTCTGAGAAGTCTGCAGAAGCGTAATGTGATCGACCTTCTCCGAAAAAGAAGGAAAGAAAAAGAAAAGAAAGAGAAAAAGTAGAGCCGCCTCATCTCAAAAGGGGAGGGAGGCAGGGGAAGCAAGGCTGAGCGCGATGTGCATTGCGAACCCCTAAAATGTCGCCCAGCCAGATGGGGTGGTATGGCTTTGACTGGATTGGATGCTCTTTCCACCAATGCAGTCGTTCGGTAGTACAGCTGCACATTTCACAGCGCGAACTTGGCAAAGTCACACCACTACCTACATCCTGGGAAACTGTACGGAAGAGGAAAAATCTTACTTCGATGCATATCCGCCATAGCTGCCTGTTGTATCGATTAACGACTGGGTATCATTTCTTGCTCAAATTAGCGGCACATCATTCAATATGGGTGGGTTCATCATCCATCACTGAGCGCGGTTCTCAAAACTCCCTTCCCTTGTCCCCAGGCCCCAAGGCGCCTGCACCCCATACCCCCACCAACCCCCAGAAACCAACTCTCCAACCTCTCACTAACCCAGCCACACCTTGGCCCCGCCTGGTCCGCAGCATACCATTCTTGGCTTTCGTGGTGGTCTCGCCTTCAGTGTACATAATGCCATAGACTGTGCCCCACACGCCACTGTAAGAAGCAGGCTCCACAATCATCTTCATCTCAGGGTCCGCCTGCTTCAAATGCTGCACCTGCGCCCTCCTGACGAGCGTTTCCAAAGGCAGTCGAATGAACAGTTCTGTTAAAGTGGTACTGAAAGATGCCAGAGACCACAAGGAAGGGGTAAGTTCGGGGGCTATGCGAAGTTGTCTTCGAAGGAAGAGTGGTGTTGCAGCGGAGAAGACGTTCGGAATGAGGTGATACAGAGCTGTGGGGGTCCAAAGACTCGCTGGTGCGAAAAAGGAGGGAAGGCGTTTGAGGTTCGAGACGAGGCCTCGCTTGCCTTCTGAAATGGGCGTGACAATTAAACGAGTCCGAACGAGGTCGAGTGGGGCCAGCAACAAGCCGGTCAAGCAACTTGCCAGGCCAATGACCAAAAGTGAGCCGAGTGGGTTGGGAGAATCGGACAGATCAATTCCAGAAAAGCCAGCTCCGCCAGACATGGTCAAGCCAGGCGCCAGACCTCCTTGTTCTGGCCCTACGATATCTGGTAGACCTAGTATCGCCAATAGCAAACCTCTGATGAAAGAGTCTGTAGTTCGCAGCAGAATGGAATATAGAAAGGTGGTATTGTTTGCTCTCCAAAGCCCCACAGCACCGGAAGTATTATACAAGGCCGACACAGCTTGCATGACACTGTCAGGCTTCTTTATCCGTAAAGACATATCATCGCTCCCGAGGCCGGGTTGAGTTCTGTTCCGTGGACGAGGTGTGGGTGAGAGATCTGCACTATCGCTGGGCGGAGTCCGTTTCCGCCGTCGTGGTGAGCGGCTTCGCGGCGCTGTTGCGGAGAAGTAATCTGGAATGCCATTCTCTTCATCGTCGCTGTCCTCTGTGGTGTCTCCGTCGGTCTCTGTTTCGTAAGGGTTCCCGCCGCGGCCTCGGCTCGTCGTCGTACTCTGCCCCGTCGTCGTCCGCTTCTTCTGTGCAACTCCTAGACTCTGCTGAGACTGCGGAAGCGACACCTGCAAGAGAGTCTTGGCCACGTCAAAGGGTTGTGCCAGCACGATCGACGTGTAGCGCCATGCGAGAGTATCGAACAAGCTACGGGTATGCGACCAGGCCTCGCTAGTGGTGGAGGAGATGTCGATGTCGGGGAACAAGTCTCGCGCCGAGGTGGAGAAAGAGGAGGTGTCGTTCAAGCGCGAGGTCGCGTGGATAGCTGACGCCTGTGACGGCGGTGTGGAGGAGGCGGCGGCGGCGGCGGCGGCGGGAGATGGACCGATGGAGGGCGGAATATAGTATGGGCGGAGAGGATTGGGTTCCCTCGACGGCGCCATTGGGAAACGTTGAGTGTCCATGGTTCTCGTTCTTACATGCTGTGGTGGAGGGGGGGAGGAGGAGGAGGAGGAGCTTGGTATAGACGACAGCTACCTATGTAAGGTAGGGACCGTATGTAGTGTAGCATGACGCTGCTCGCTCTCGCTTCCATTCGCTGGGATGCGGGAGTCCGACTCGCCGCTCCCTCCATCTTGGCATCTCCCATGGTCCTCCAGTGTCTACAAGACAAAACAGCGATATCACTCCCCAAACAGCAACCAGAATGGCTTCACTCTGCACGCGCTGCTCCCTCCGTCTGCAACGGCAATCCCAGCCGTCCCGTCTGATCACGCGCACCTTCTGCCAAAGCACCACCCGCCCGGTCGAGTTCCCGACTTTCACGCCCTCCACCAATAAAACCCTCAACGACACTCTCGCCGCCTACCGCGATAAACATCTCGTCCCCGCCTTTCTCACCAGACGCGAGCAGCAGCTCATCTTTTCCCCCCACAAGAAAGACTACCTGAAAGAGAACCCCACCACCATCGAATTGGGAGGTCAAGAAATCAAACTACAATGGTTCGACCGTCACACTGAGCGGCCTGCGAGGATGAAATTAGTGAAAGCGGCGCTGGAACAAATCTTCCAAAGCAAAGATGGCAGAGATTGGGAGAATGTTGCGAAGCTGCTACAAGCGCTCAAAGAAGTCCACAAAGCGCCGTTAGAGGAGAAAGTACAGGATAAGATCGTCCGCAAAGCGGTCCGTCAAGGACAGATTTCGCAGGTGCTGAAGATGCTGCAACACGCTGATAAGACAAGCATGTCTTTGAAGAGCGGTTTGGTGTTGAAGACGTTGGTGATGGGTGTGAGAGATACGGCGCAAAGGAGTGGATGGGAGAAGGAGCATGTCATACGAGCGCTGGAGATGTTGCAACGCATTGCGCAGTTGCTGGAGACTGAGCAACATGGAGCAGGAAGAAATATCGTGGAGGGAGATCCGAGGATGGATCCGTTCATTTTGGGAGTACAGCTCGAACTCGTCTCTGTCTACGCATATAAACACAACCAAGGTGTTGATGAAAACGAGACGGTTGCCAGATACGCGGATCGCCTGCTATGTTCGATTGGCGAGGAACAGCTCGATGCTTCTGTATTGGAAACAAAGCTGGTATTGAGAGAGCAAGGTCCGCATTCGGAATTTCAACATGCCGTACCTATCTTGCACGGCGTGTTCTTAGCCAACAAGATGCTTGGGGAGGAGATGCCTCAAGCAGAGGAGGCTCGGCGTCTTATTGCAGCTTACGAGCATACACTGAGCGGACTGGCGGCAATCTTAGAGGGGAGAGCGCCGGCTCAGGGCTCTTATGATCATTCTGCGCTCGAGGCTTGGAGGAGGATGATCCGCGACTGATGTGGTTGGCGCAGTTGCACGTGGAGTTCGACGCGCTGCGTGCATCCTCGACGACGTGTCGTCAACTCTTGGAGTTTGTGGCAGAGGCACATGTCTAGTGAGTCTACAGACGATATCTACAGATGCGACTCCCTGTCGCCGACAACATTCCGCGCATGTTGCGTAGTAAGGTAGTTTGATGCCACACAGAAGCGACCTGGGCCATCCTGGCGACAGAACTGGTGGACGCCGGGCCAAAGGTTACCTCCGTTCCGATTACTGCTTCTCTTTCCGTGTACAATATGCGTGTGTAGCAGGACTGGTTTCCAACAATCACAAGACAATACTCTGCTACTTTTTCCAGGTGTGATGGTGCTCGAAGCCTGCGCGCCCACCCAGCGATAAAGTCCACAGTACCTCCTATACCTGGTACAGATGATGGACTAATGCGCCAAGCACAACGCGCCCACAGGTTCTAGCTCTGCCCTCAACTCTCACATCCAGGCAACCAGGTACTCGGGCCTACTCTGGAATCGAGTGCACAATCGCACGTGGATCAGTCCGCGGACAAGACACGATGATGTCGTGGTTCGCCGCTCGCAAGGGTCTGCCAAGGCTACGATCCCTCTTGGACAGCCATACTCCGGTGCTTCTCTTGGCGAAATGGTATTGGCGTGACGCAAGGCGGTTGAGATAAGAGTCGCCATGGCGTTTGGCTGAATATTCGCAATTTCTGCGGCCAGGATGATGTCGACGTCTTGGAATAGGAGTATGTCCCAAGACTTGCCTCATGGGTCTGTGTCATGGTCGGCGGGTATATAGACCTGCTTGTGTTCCTGAGCAGGAGGAGCATCCCAAGAGCAGAAAGACATATTCAATCAAGAGAACCAACATCCCACAGCACGACTACTCCACTATCAATAACACGCAACCAACATGAGCATCTCCGACAACAATATGAACAGTGCGTCGCACTCCGTTCACATGCCCCAGCTCTCAGGCCCCATCCACAAGACCAGCAACAACAACAACAATAACATCCCTTCGCAAGACGTAACTCCGTCTCAAGCCAACACATACCCAGAATGGTCGTCCGGCGAGTCAAGAGCAGCATCATCTGGCGCAGACGATGAACCATCCTACACTTCCACTCCAGTCGACTCCAAGGGTTCTAAAGAAAGCGGAAACACACTGAGTGCATATGACCGTGACACCTACCTGTCTCCTTCTAGCTCATCGAGCAGGAGCCGAAGCACATCGAGAGGTGCCTATGATGTGCACCGCGTCAGCCAGGATGGCAGAGCTTCTGGATTTCCCGAGGACTCGGAAGCGAAGCACCGGAAGCTGATTGACAAGATTATGGGCCACAAGCTTGCACCGAGCTTCTTGCAGTAAGGAAATTAAGGAAATTTTGTGATTTAGAGAGGATGTGAAAAGACTTCAGGGGAGGAATGACAACACGATAAAGCATTAGCGCGTGCACAGCGATGAGCAAGGGAACTGTATCACTACCGAACTAGTCAAGTAATGATATGTTATATCTACCAATCAATCTGTCAGTCAGTCTGCATCAGTGGAAAAGCGTCAGCATGTAGTTCATTAGGCCTGCTGTGCGGTTGCACCACCTAGATCTTCATCATCGCTAGCTGATGACCATAGAGATCAGAGCTTTGCTCCATCTTTACCTGGCGGCGGCAAGATCGTGATGTCCTGGAACGGTACTCCCAGGAACTGATAAATGAAGTGCCACCTGAAGATTCAACATTAGCTGCCTGACCCCGACATGCAGTCATTTAAACAATCGAGCAGACGCAGAAACGAAGAAGTCGCCCACGCAGAGAATCCAACATACCGATCACTGCCAAAGAAGCTCTCCTCTCTCCCGTCCGCATTCGTCACAAGCAACCAAGGCGCACCAAAAGCCCCCTGGTCCACCAATCTCGCCGTCTCATCGACCAACAACTTCTTATACTTGGCATCCACCGCTCCTTTCATAATCAACTCCACCTCGCCCTCTCCAAAATACTTTCTCAGCACTTCCGCCAGAACATCCACACGACTCACATCTCGATTCTCCCCCCCAATACCCCACAAAGCCTCCCAGAGCCCCCCAAAAGCGTCTTCATACCTGTCATACTCGCACTGGTCCTTGGCCACCAGCATGGCGCGCATGGGTAATATACTCATAATGGGAAAGAAAGGCGGAGTTTTCATGGCATTCGGCGGGAGACCGAAGTACTGCATTCCACGTGGAAGTTCGAGTTTGCTCAGACGGGCTTTGGCAGGGAGAGTCCAGGGGGGTTTATTTCCCGATCCGACATTGATGCCTCCGAGGAAGATGGGATGGATTTCCACTGAGATGTTATGCTGGGAGAGGGCGGGGCGGTTGCGTCGAAGATACAGATAGGCGAAGTAGGACCATGGGGAGTCTAGTTACGAGGTATGAATTAGATATTACAACGAGGTGAAGATGTCATTTTATGGGTTTCTGTAATTGTTACGGGTTGATGCTCGAGGACACAGAGGGACAGAGGAGTAGGAATGTGGCTATTCAACGTACTGCAGTCGACATAGAGGTCTATCCTCCCACCATTGCCCGTGTTGGTGCTCATATTCTGAGAAACTTCAATTGTCTTGCAATATTCATATTATTGATTGAGCGAATTCATGTGAAGTTGGAGGCGGCAGCTTAAGCCGAGGATGCTCCGAGGCTTTTGCTTCTAGATATTATAGCCTCACCTCCCGAGGCCTGGCTGGGACGCTTTGCTCTTTATGCTACCCCTGATGCGATGCTGTACATATCTATGTTTACATAACGCCCTTTTGGGTCCTACAGACTGTTCTCGCCATTACAACTTGACCTTATCCGCTTGGCCTCGCCACACTTGAGCAGCTTGCGAGAACATGTCCCTCGCCTTCACTTTGCTTTCCAGTCTAGCACACAGCAAAAAGGCACCACTCAGCTTTCGGTGCAAGCTGTACGTCTCCTCTGGGGGTGGCGCGAGACGTTCCCTTAACATGAGTCCAATGTTCTGCCGGACGCGATCCGTCACTGTCTGGCCTCTGAAGTCGTAGACTTCGGGCGCCGAGGCCACAAAGGGCTCAGCGAGCGTCAATATGGAGTCGACATGTGCTCTCAGCATTGCTGGGCTCTCATGCCCGGTCAAGTAGCCGAGCTGTATCGATAGATCTCGGCAGGCTTCACGGTCGCTCTTAGATGCGGCAATGAGCAGTTCGCAATACGGCTCTACGAACTTGTCGGGAAACTCTCGACTTGCTCCAAAGTCGAGAAGTTCGATTTTCTTGGTTTCTCGATTGTACAAGAAGTTGGTCCAGTTCGGATCCGTTTGCATGAATTTGAATTCCATGAGTTCGCGTAAGCAGAGTCGCAGAATGTTAGAACCAATCCAGTCTCGCTCGTGTTGTGTCAGATCCTTCACCTTGGTCACACCAGTGCCGTGAAGGAACTCGGCCGTGAGAACGTCCGGCCCAGAGGCTTCGGTATATACCTTGGGCACCGTAAAGATGTCAGTTTCGTCGGCGAGGTGCTCGTCGCGGAACTTGATACAGGCCTTTGCTTCCCGTTCATAGTCGCATTCCCAGCCCAGTTCGGTGCGGGCATTGGCGATGGTGCGGTCCAGGAAGAGGCCCTTGGGTAACAGTTGAGATGCAGTCAAAAGGAGGGAGAGGTTGTTCAGATCAGAGTCAATGCTGCCACGCACGCCTGGATACTGTACCTTGACTGCCACGTCGACCTCGCCAGCTGGAGTCTTCAGCACCGCCCGATGCACCTGTCCTATCGAGGCGGCAGCAAAAGGCTTCTCGTCAAACGAGCTGAACTTTTCCCTCCACGCAGAGCCGAGATTCTGGCTGAGAACCTTGTTGCGTTGTGAAGCAGGCATGTAGTCGGCACTATCCTGCACTCGCTGCAGGACAGCGTTGATGGTCGGAGGCAGGACCTTGCTGTCCTGGAAGCTCATCATCTGGCCCAGTTTGAGAGCGGCGCCACGCATTCGACTCAGCTTCGCCACCAGCCGGTTCATGTTGGCTTCGCTGAGCATCAAACTACCAGTACTACCGCCTCCAACGAGTCTGCTGAAGCTTTCGCCTACAGCACCAAACGCCATGCTGGTGGCAAGACCGCCGTATTGCCAGATGCGGCCAAAGCGAGTGGCTGGTACTCGGGACTCGCGCATCTCATAGACTTTGCTCTGTGTTGGCTGCTCACCAGCACTCATCGGAGAGCTTGACCCTGGCGGCGCAGCAGCATTAGCGAGTTCGGAGGCGAGATGCTGCGTCTCTGCATCTCCCGCACTCTGGCTCTTCACGGGTTCCGGCTGAGCAGCAGCTGGTAGAGGAGCTGTCTGACTCACAGTTTGTGCTTCCCGTCGCTGCTTCGCCTCTTCCTCTCGCCGTCTTTCTGCCTCTACCATTTCAGGCAACGGTTTGGGGGCCATCTTCTGTCTCTTTGCGTAGGGGTTGGTGCTCTGGCCAGCAGATGCACCGAGCATCTTGGATATCCGTGGACTGTGGAAAATCTGATCAACCCCGTCTGGCAGAGTCTCAGGACTGGCTGCTTTTGCTTCTGTAGGTGATGGGTATACATCTTGATCCAGGTCTGTTGGTGGTGAATCTCCCTGCGCCGACTCTGCATGTCGTGGGAGCTTCGTTCGTGGCAGAGACGAGAGCTCGGGCGAAACTTGGTCTGACCGCTGGCTGAAGGTGTCGCGTCCCGGGCCAGACTCTTGTAAAGGTTGTGTATCTGCTGCTCTCGCTGGTATCTGTGCCTCTGACTGCCGTTGCTGTTCTCGCTTCCTCAGGCTGGCCAATGTGCCATCGTCCTGTTTCGCTGCCCCCAACCCAGCATTTTTCGCCGCCGTCTTCACGTCTTTGGTGATGTTGTCGACCTCCCGCGCCGCCGCCTGACCCTGCCGCCGCGCATATTCCACTCCATCCTCGGCCTGTCTCTGCCAGCTCGGCGTGCTGTCACTGAATCGCTTGGCCAACTCGATGGCAGCTCCCACCGTCACCGTCACGCGGTCCGTCTGGCCCTTGACGGCCTTTGCTACACTCGACGTTCGCGTGAACAGATCATATTGTTCTTTGCGGATGCGGTAGTGGCTTTTTGCGATTGTCCCGCCAGCAGAGACCAGCTTGGCGGCATCAATCAGCCGCTTCCCAGACATGGTCAGGGTATTGATCTGTCGTTCATTCTTGTTGACTGGAAACCAGAGTTATCTGCTGACCTAGTGCTGGGAGAAGAATCATGCAGGTGTTAAGGTATTGTGAATTTGTGATATTGTCAATTTGTTGACCTCCCGTCGTCATCGACTACGCTTGCCGAATCGAGACAAATCCGCTCATATCTACCTCCTAGACCCAAACCACACTCACAAGGGGGCTACCTATTCCTCTCCCTCCTGCCCCTCCCCCTTCTCCAACATCCTACCTGTATAGTAGGACACAACTGCAATAATGTCATGATCGGCTACCTACTATCATATCGTGCCGACTAATCGACTCCATAACCTAGAATGAACTGTCATATTCAGCCCCCACTCTTGTCGGCCGGCAATTGATGCCGTTTCGGCGGACGGGGTGGAATCCCCTATCAACAAATCGACTGTACCTCTAGCATCAATACCTATACCCACTGATAGCTTGCTCAGAGACATGATATGCGCCGTTTGCACCTTGACCTTCTGCTTAAAGCCTACTAGACCTGCTACTTTGAACCTATTAGATCTGTCCTGCTAACAAGATGGGAGAGGTATCCCTTGAGGAGACCAAAGCCCCCTGGAGTGAGGTGGTCAAGCTCAAGCGAGACAAGCAGGCGAGAGATATTGAACAAGGCCAAGCGATCGTCAGTGGACTTCAAAATCACCATGTCGAGTCAATTACGAGCATCGATAACGTGCAAACATTGGCCTCCAAGATTGCTATAGGAGAGCTCAAGGCACAGGATGTTGTTACGGCATATATTCGAAAGTATGTTTATTACCCTAAACGACTACTCTCCGACCGCTAAGTGAACACTGGGGCTAATTGGACATGACAGAGCAATAACGGCCCATACCAAGACCAACTGCCTCACCGAAGTCTTCTTCTCTCAGGCTATAGAGCAGGCCATAGCACTGGACAATCACCTGCAAAAGACTGCCAGTACCGTAGGACCACTACACGGGATACCCATCACGCTGAAGGACCAGTTCGACGTGCGAGGCCATGATACCACACTTGGCTATGTCGGCAGATCGTTTCGTCCTGCCATAGAAGATGCTTTGCTGGTGCAGATTTTGAAGCGAGCGGGAGCTATAGTCATCGCGAAGACAAATCTGCCACAGAGTATCATGTGGTGCGAGACCGACAATCCTCTATTTGGCCTCACGACGAATCCAATAGATTCCCAACTCACACCCGGCGGTTCCACAGGAGGCGAAGGCGCCCTGCTTCACGAACATGGCAGTCTGATCGGCTGGGGAACCGACATAGGCGGTAGTGTGCGCATCCCCTCTCACATGATGGGCTTGTATGCTCTCAAGCCCAGTAGTGGTCGGTTGCCATATCTCGGATGTCAAGTGAGCACGGCCGGACAGGAACACGTCCCGTCAGTCATTGGACCCATGGCTCGGAGTCTCGAGTCGATCGAAAGCGTGACGAAGATTGTCATCGAAGCGGAGCCCTGGAACGAAGATCCCACCTGTCACCGTCTTCCATGGCAGGGACATGTCTATGCTGAGATCCAGTCTCGTCCACTCGTCATTGGACTGTTAGTCGACGACGACCATGTGCGGCCACACCCATCAATCTCCCGCGTCATTCGAGAAACTGCTTCACGTCTGCAGGCCGCAGGTCACACGATTGTGCCATGGACATCGACACTCCACACGGAATGTATTCAGATCATGGATGCCTACTACACAGCCGACGGCGGCGAAGATATCAGAAGATCAGTTGCAGAAGGCGGTGAGCCCATGATTCCTCACGTGGAAGGTCTGGTCAATCGAGGGAAGCCTATATCCGTCTACGAGTACTGGCAACTCCATCAACGAAAACGCGCAGCTCAAGCTGCATATCTCCAGAAATGGAACAGCATTCTGGATCCTTCCACGAAGAGAAGAGTTGACGTTTTGCTGACGCCCGTGATGCCGCATCCTGCAGTCAAGCATGGAGGGTGCAAATGGGTGGGTTATACAAAGGTGTGGAATCTGCTGGACTATACCGCCGTTGTTCTGCCAGGAGGAAAGGTGGACAAGCGTATTGATCGGGTGGAGGAGGAGGAGGGGGGATATGAGCCGAGAAACGAGACTGACAAGTGGAATTGGGAACGGTATGATCCTGTCGCAATGGACGGCCTGCCGATTGGGATACAACTTGTTGGACAAAGATTGGAGGAAGAGAAGGTTTTGGGAGCGGCGAGAGTTGTGGACAGTGCGCTGGGGCGTGGGAGGTGAAGATGATGTTGGTCAGCTCTGCGTGCAATGCCATGCATAGGTAGGTAGGTACTGGAGAGCAGCCTCGAGCACTGCTCCCATTCGTGTATCCATCCGGTGCTGAGTGCTCAGGTACTATACATCTTGCAGTGGACCAAAACCCCTGATTCTCGGCGCAGGCTGAGATGGGGAGAATGGATATACCTTTTTCATTGAATGAATGGGCGGTGTAGTCGAGGTCTGGAGCACAAGCATTGGCGATACAGCTCCGTTCTCGTACTGTAATCACTAGAATAGGTACCTCCTACCGTACCTTAGTCAGTATATCCGAGCGCCAAGCAGACCAATTTCTCGCGGCCCCATTGATTCCCAGCTTCTTCTTCTCCTCCTCGCCTCCTCCTATCTGGCACCACTCGACTCCATATTTTTCATGTTTCAATGCTGACCCCCAGTCGCCTCGAAGAAGTCATGTTCAACCGTCCAGCGTCCCTACACATCGATATCTTCACTACCTATGTACGAGTAGGAGGGATGTAGGCACCGGATGAGTCTCTCCTCCAATCCTACAATCCTCCAGTCCTCCAATCATCGCCATCTGAAACGGCCTAGTAGCTGAGTCATCCACGCTGGCGTAGGTGGGATGACTGGTATAGTACAGTAGGGGCCCAGAGGGAACATAGGTACGCTCAGAGAGAGATAGGCAGGTCAGCGTCTTACTCTTTGCGCACCAGATCGAGTTCAGGGTCATGGTCCGATACAGTGACAGTTCTAGTTCTACCTGTTGCGTTTCCTATACAGACGCATCTTATAAGACGTGACCTCCTAGGGCCAAACGGTACAGTCGCTCCGAGATGCGAAGAGTGAGACTCTGACTGTAAGACGCTGTAGCGGAAGTAATGCGCCGTGAAAGACATGTCCCCCTGTCGTAGGTTTGCACTCGGCTTGTATGGTTGTACCACATGTGCCTGACCTCCTTTCTCCCTCAACAACGCCTACTACTGGCCCGGACTCCTCCCCTCGTCCCATCAGATACCATATGTAAGGTACCTTACATGTAGTTGTGAGCGAGGATACATCCACGACGAGAATACCGGATAAAAGAACAGCAGAAAAGCAAAAGAAGAAGAGAAGAGGATATGGATATGGATAGCGTGCCGAGAGTGTGCACTGTGCATATGCGCCTAGACAAGCCTTTTACCTCCTAGAATGTCACTAATATAGTTCCACCGGACACTGCCCCGCTGACCCGCAGTGTTATATCGACAGTGGATGCTTGACAGGCCAACACTCTATATCAGACAGCCCGGCCTCGACTACGCACGCGATGGCCTCGTGGAAGCAATATCAACGCTGGAATAATACTCCCGTTTACTCGTAGCGAATGTCAAGAACCGAGTGAGTTCAGGAGAGGGACCACAGAGACACTTTTGCTCTTCGGAAGGTGAATTCTCCCTATATGGAATAATGGAGTAATCATGGGCCATGGCGGGCGGACGACCGGGGCCAGATCGTGCATGCCGAGACGACGAGTGTTATTAATTTGTTGCGATCTCCAGGACTGGCCGGGATAATTGTCTACTGTAGTCTACATACAGTCTTGTGCCTGATTCTCGCTCTAGCTCACTACGAAAAAGCACGACTGTCGGCTATCTACTGCTCTACACTACCAGCGAATGTAACCTGCACACTCCGCTCTCCGTCTATAAGGAGAGCTGATTCGCACTCCATATATGCATTGGAATACTATTCCGGCCTATCAATTCCCCCTTCTGTCTGACCTTCACTTACACTCAGGTACTACTACGCCATCTCCCTCGCAGTAGTCGTGCAAGATGAAGTCCTCGTGGCTTCTCACCTCGCTGAGCACTGCAGCGGCAGCCCTCACTCCGGCCGAGTACCTGACTTGGGCCGCTGATACCTATATCCGGGAAGGCGTCAAGAAGGACTACCACTACACCACCTCCGTCCTCTACACCGGCTATGAAGCTGCCATCGCGCTGACCGCAAACGAGACTCTGGTCGACTGGTATCGGTCGCAGATTGATGATGCTGTCGTCCTCCAGAACGGGTCTATTGCCAAATGGAACCTCACCAAGTACTCCCTCGATGATTACCGCATGGGCAACAACTTCCTATGGTGGTACAATCGCACGGGGGAAGCCAAGTACAAAAGCGCCGCAGACATCATCCGGGAGCAACTGAATCGCCATGATCGAAACAAAGAAGGAGGTTTCTGGCATCGAAACCCAACCTACCCCAATCAGATGTGGTTGGATGGCATCTTCATGGCCGACACCTTCTACGCCCAATGGACCAGCCTGTTCGACTCGGCTAATACCACTGCATGGGATCACATTGCGTTACAGTTCGATCTCATCGAGGAACACTGCAGAAACCACACTTCGGGACTGCTGGTCCACGGATACGATGAGAGTAAGAGTACAGTGTGGGCCGACCCCGTCACTGGAGCAGCACCAAACGTCTGGAGTCGAGCAGTCGGCTGGTACTTTATTGCTCTGCTCGAGGTCATTCCGCTCTTCCCTGCGACGCATCCTGCCAAGGCGAGACTGCAAAAGTACTTTGTCACTCTGGCGGAAGCCTTGAAGAGTCACCAGTGTTCCGAGTCAGGAGGTTGGTGGTTGATTATGAATGATCCCTATCCGGGAATGGAGGGCAACTACATTGAGAGCTCGGGAACTGCAATGTTCACTTATGGCTTTTTGAAGGGTATCGCCGATGGGTATCTGACTGCTGGGGACTACTATGCCAGTGCGGAGAAGGGGTATACGCTGCTGACAGACAAGTTCGTCCTCAACAACACGAACAACGGAACCATGCGAATGGAGGGCACCGTGTCGGTGGGCAGCTTGAGCGGTAACGGGACATATGAGGTAAGTCTTGCAATTCTTCTAGTGATTCCTTTTATCATTGCTCGCGTGGCTTGACTGACGACAATGGAACAGTACTATATTGGCGTGCCTACTGCTGTGAGCGACTATAAAGGCGTAGGGCCTTTTATGTGGGCAAGCCAGCCTCTGCTTCATCTCCAGTAAAGAGGTGCTGCGACCTCCTCGATCTGATCATGTTCGAGGTGTACACGAGTTGTTAAACAGTTCATCAGTACATTTACAATATTAGGTATGAGCAGACTCTAGGCAATAATTCTGCACAAAAAGTCTTGGTTGCTGTCGATACGGTACCACATCGCATCGCGACATCGAGTAGACGAGTGCATGTGTGACATCTGCCCAAGAGAGCCGCTCCGTTGACAGTCTTCGCACTCATCCCAGTCGGAGCTTACCACTTACCGTCCACACCAATGATATTTACCATACAGCCCATATCATCTCCTCCACCAGGAGGTACTCCAGCATACTGTCCAGAGAAGAAGCCCGGGACAGGGGCCGACGACGTATTCACTCGCCATGCCAGGAAAGGACTGCAGAGATGGTAAGTTGGTGGGATTTTGCTTCTAGGAAGAAGGATGATACGAAACGAATCTTGTTGTAGGGTGAAGTCCAGAGTGATGAGCAGAGAAGTAGGAGGTACATGTAGGAGGTAGAATACAAAGGCGAGATTGTGAAAGTCGACGATAGATATCGGCAAAGCGGCTACCGAGGGATGATTGGGGCGATGATGTAGTTTGAGCGATGCCCCTCAAGTCGCCTCCCGTCCGAAAGTGAAGAACAGATACAGAGTGCTTCAATTAGTAATGATACCATAGTCACTTTCACTACATCTACATCAATGAATGCCTTCTTCTTCTTCTTCCCCCGTGAAGCAATACTAATTGTGCTTCACTCTGTTTCCCATTGATCAAGTCGTACAGCACTGAACCTACGTATACAAAACAGTGTTATTACCCAACCGATACAACACCTTACAGTCTGTTATATATACCTTCACCATCCAAACCATGGTCCCCCAACCAGACAACCCCGAACCAGCCCACCACGACATCGACTCGATGCTCTCCCGCAAATTCGGCAAAGAAGTCGCCAACTACTTCTCCGGCTCGCCCCTCAACCGCGTGGGATTTCTCCGCGCCGACCACCAATTCCTCTCCCAAGCCCTCAAACACCCTTCGACCGCATTCCTCCTCTGCAACGAGCTCCAACCTCTCGTCCAATCCGGAACCGCACCCGGCAAGGGTCGTCTCCAATATGTCAAATACGAAGACGTCCAACCCGTCATCGGCTCCGATCCCTTTGCCCAATCTGAAAAAGAGATGCTAGACGCCTACCGCAGCGATCAATACATTCCACAAATGATCTTTCTCGGGCTCGACGAAAAAGTCCCCGAAGGAGAAGGCTTAGCATATCAAGCAAAGAATCTCTACAAAGGAGCTCCCTATTTCGCCGTGGACGTCACACCGCGTCCACAAGCAGATGCGAGGATTTCAGAAGCCTGCAAAACTCTCATTACACGGCTCCAGAAAGAACAAGGCTTCGAGTTTGGGAAAGGTCGAATTATGGATATTGAGCCCTCGGATGCAGCGATTTATGCCGAAGCTCGCCAACTGCTCGATTGGAATCAACGGAATCCCTTTTGCGCAGCATGTGGCCACAAGACATTTTCCGTGCACGCAGGTTTCAAACGGACCTGTCCGCCCACGGATCGCGCCGCAGATGCGAGTGCAGTGGAACGACCGGCGTGTGTGACACGCCATGGAGTGTCGAATCTGTGTTTTCCCCGGACGGACCCGACGGTGATTATGGCGGTGATCAACCACGCGGGAGATAAAATTCTGCTGGGGAGACAGAAGCGTTGGCCACCATATTGGTATTCGACTCTAGCAGGGTTCGCCGAGCCGGCAGAATCGATTGAAGAGGCGGTGCGAAGGGAAGTGTATGAAGAGGCGGGGGTGATAGTGGGTAGGGTGATTATTCATTCCACACAGCCGTGGCCGTATCCTGCGAATTTGATGATTGGAGCGATTGGACAGGCGGTGGCGGGCGATGGGGAGAAGATTGATTTGGGGAATGATCCTGAACTGGATGATGCCAAGTGGTTTTCCTTTGACGAGGTCAGGCATAGTCTCAGGGTGGGAACGAGTGGGTTGGGAGAGGATGCGGGACCAGAGTACAAGGAGGGCGATTTGAGACTTCCTCCTTCGACGGCTATTGCGAATCAGCTCATGACTGCTGTGGCCAATGGCTTCGCGTCGGGAGACTCGAAGATGTAGCTCTCGTCTCCTCAGCGGAGCCTGTGAGAGCCGGTCAGAGGAGAGGGTGTTGCCTTTCTGCAGAGGCAGAGAGAAGGATGCCCAGATCAGTCGTGAAAGAAGAACTTGAAAGAGCCACGTGATGGACTTCATTTAGACCATGTACAGATTCCGATTTATCCTTGAATCTCAATGTACAACTGCGGTGTTGATACTATGGCATAGTAGCAGTCGTAATGACAATAGTACAGTCTTCTACAGCGCCCTCGGAACAGCCACAAAAGTCCCCTTAGTTTACGCTCAATTGACTCGACTCGATACTGTTCTCCCCTCTAAACTGCCCACTCAGACTCAGCCCAGGTCCATTTGTACTCGACAGCACCACCTCATGTATATCCTTGGGAGTCTTGTCCGCAACTCTTGCCATGTCCTTCTTGACCTGTTCCACAAACGTCTTGATATTCCTCTGCATAGCTTCTGGCGAAAGGCTCATCTGTCCAATGGCCAATCTGACCACACCCTCGCGCTCCCGATATTCAGTCCCCCCAACCATATCCATCACCGTGGCAGCCACATCTTTGACCACAGTCCCCAACTTCGCCGAGGGCATCAAACCTCTCGGTCCCAGTATCCTCGCCACACCGGATTTTCCTAATGCGGGTAAGGAGTCGATGTGTGCGATACACCGATCAAAATTGATGTTCCCCGCCTTGACGGCTTCGAAGACGCTCGCTTCTCCCACGACGTCCGCGCCTGCGAGTGTGGCGGCTTTGGCAGCCGCACTGCCTTCAGGTGCGATGACACAGATTCGTAGATCGGTTCTGACGGGGTGGGGGAGTCGGAGACGATTGCGGACTACGGCGCCGTTTCTGGCAGTTTTGAGACGGACGTGGAGTTCGTATTTACTGCTCGAGGGGGCGCGGCCAACTTCTGCTGCGCGGAGGTATCTAATCCAAGTCTGGTCAGTGGGCGGGTCCAAGAAGGGTCAAGTGAAGACGCGGGAGCACATACCGCATGGCGTCTACGAGGGAGAATTGGATGGCATTCTTCAGGTCCGGCGTATCGTACATGGTTTTAGCTTTTTTCCGTTTCTGGGAGGCCGCTACATCTTTTCGTTTGTATTTGGCGGCGTTGGCGGACTTGACTGCCGTGCGGACCTGTGTTTGCTGTTGCAGTGGGAGGAGAAAGGTCGGGAGTATCGTCGTTGTCGTGGAGCGCGTTTGGGATCTTGCGGCGCGTGAAAGGGAGGAGAGGCACGAGGGACAGTATCGTGACGCCGAAGCCATATTGACTCTGTATCGCTGATGTCGCCTTCTGCAGCGGAAAACTCGTCGTCCCCGTGGAAGGGGTGGTGGAGTTGGTGGTGGTGGTGATGTTCTTCTGAAGATGCGGAGCTCGGAGGTGTCTTCCAACCCGCCGATCCCACCTACCTATATGCCTACTACTACACTTTCCGTTCACTTACCTCTACAACTCCCAGGCAGCCCTAGTCCAGCCTAGTCTACCTAGTCTACCAATGCCTACGTAGCCACTCCGCCTCGACATGTCACGCTTCCAGATTGGTGCCACTCCCACCACAGCCTCCGCTGTCTCCACCCCCGCCGGCGAGTACTCCCCCACCTCCACTCCAGCACAGCGCTATTCCGCCGACAACTACGACGACGACGACGATGACATTTCCACGCTCCCTTACCCAACCGAACTCCCTCGATCAGACTTCCTGCAGCCTCAGTTTGACGCTCAAACATACCTCTCCTCTCTCCGAAACCGCCATCAAACCCTGGAAGACTTGCGTTCAGATCTGCGATCGAGGAGTCAACTGCTAAACAAGGAGCTACTGGATCTGGTGAATGGGAATTATGAAGAGTTTCTATCTCTAGGGGCCGATCTCAAAGGAGGCGAGGAGCAGGTGGAAGGTGTGAGAGTGGGCGTTTTGGGGTTTGGGAGGGAGGTGGAAGGCATCAAGAAGGATGTCCAGGAGCGAAAGGACGAGGTCAAAGGACTGCTGGACGAGAAAAAGAATATTCGGCGGGAAGTGGTGATTGGGCGGCTGCTGCTGGATATCAACGAGAGGTTGTCCGAGCTTGAGAGCAGTTTGGGAATCAACATGGATGCTGAAGAAGAGGAGGAGGATTTTGACGATGATGGGGACGCCGGAGACGACGATAGTGATGCTACTACACTTGGAAGAGCGCAGTTGAGGCGGTTGCAGAGACATGCCGAGCAGTTTCTCATGGTGGAGAGGTTGATTGAACGGATTGGTCCAGATCATCCCTTTCTCGTTGCGCAAAAGGGACGACTGGATGAGATCAGAAAGACCCTACTGCTAGATCTCGCGACTGCGCTACGTCAAGCAAAGGCGGACAAGTCCTCGGAAAGTGTGCTGCTTGCTATGAAGCTCTACTCTGACCTTGGCGCCGAGGCGGATAGCGTGAAGGTGTTGAAAGCTGGATGAGGATGTGGTTCCAAGGCTTGGGCCGTGATCGATACCTGCCCCATTCTTTCGCGACAATCGGGATGCCAGATCGGAGGCTATTGAGATCTTCCTCTCCGCATTACCACTTTCGCCCGAAGCCCCTTGGAGAGCAAAATGGTTTCGCGATGATCTCATGCGATATTGCGAGTCGCTGTACACTACGGAGAGATGCTTCCTCCAAGAAGAAGACGAAACGTGCGACTGCGGATGCGATTTCACCAGAACCTGATAGTGGAGATGAGATCGTTATGGGCAGTGATGGCGATGGTCTCGACAGTGGTGATGCATCTGATAGAGGAGAAAGTTTTCCAGGTGAGATGTGTGGTCTTGGTATGGCGATTGTATGAACTAACATCTGACTAGACGCTTTTCCAACCCGTACTCCCTTTGCAACACGATATTTGCGTAGTCCGGCTCCGGACAATACGCCCGGGGCTGGTGACCAATATGGTGTTCCCCTTGACTTGACAATACACGTCTCACGCCTGAGTTTTGAGAGGCAACGCGAGAATTTTCGATCTGAAAGGCATTATTTTCAGGCTACACGGGCGAGGTAGGAGCAGCTTTTGCGGCGAGTGCATGTGATTATACAAAGGATGAGTACGATGGGGTGGATGGAAGGCTGATCAACATCGCCCACCATAGATGGACGACACACACGTGGAACGAGACGGCGAGCAAGTCACATCATCAGGAGATCATGTTGATCCTCCAGCTTGCATATATCCAGCAAGGCCATCCGCGCCTCAAGAGTTCTGCCTCTCGGAAGACTTGCCGCATTGTGAGCGTACATGTCCCTCCATGTGTTCGTCGTGTGACAGACAAGTGCGCCTTCAATCGATGCCGACGGGGACACCGTGAAACGCGAATGTTGTCCAAATGTAACAGCCAACCTTTACAAACTCGCAGACTCGACAATCCTTGAGTTGCACTCGGATGCTCTGAGCACTCTTAACGCCGACGAGGTAATACGAACTGACGATGACAACAAGAATCGTCTCGTTTTATCCCTACGTTGATCCCCGAGCCAAGTAGTACGGCTAGACCAAGCAGAGAAGTCTTCTCTGTGTGTCGAATTGTAAGACTGCCAGCACATAGGCTATGTTGTAAACGTGTGACTGTGTCTGCCGAGTCTGCCGACATCACTGGTGGCTAGTCGTAGCCGAACCCGCAACTGCGCAATCGACACAGCATTGATCAGCAGGATGATATAAGAAATCCAACTCGGCCATCGTGGTCTACGACTTCAAGCAGAAGACCACTACATTCCCCCTTGATCTCCTTTCGACCAGTCGCCATGTCAGACACGCAAGACTTGGTAACGTCAGATACGCAAGACTACGAGAAGGATATGCCACCGCTACGGCGCCACTCTCCCAAACCGCACAGGAGCGTCAATTGGCAATTCAATCCCAACCCGGTCAGTGCTGTCGAGGACGTGAGTATCTCTATCAGCCATATGCTCCGTTTGGACTGTTATAAAGCTACTGATCTGACGATCTATACAGGTGGCCATTCCTCGAGCGGTACTCGAAAAGATCTATCTCAGTCCTCCAACCGACGTCAAAGGGGACTTCCGAAACACATTCGCCAATCCCACACCCCTAGGCCTTGTCGGGTTCCTCGTCGCCACCATGCCCGTAGCCTTCCAACTCATGGGCTGGCACCATTCGGGCGGCGGAGGAGCTGCAACTGTAGCTCTCTCCTTTTACTTTGGCGGCATCCTCCAGCTCATCGCCAGCGTCATGGAGTGGTTTCTCGGCAACACACTCTCCTTCCTCATCTTCGGAGCCTTTGGCGCCGCATGGCTCGCACTCTCCAGCAGTTCCATGTTCAACGCCGAAGGAGCCTACACGGCCCTCGCGCACACGCCCACCGAAGTCGCCGCAGCCGAAGCAGAGTTCAATTCCAGTTTCGCGTTTGGCTTGATCACTTTTGGACTCTTGACTCTGACATTTGCCTTTTGCGCCCTCCGCACCAATGTCATCTTTGTGTTTTGTTTCTTCCTCGTCACAGTGGCGATATTCATTTTTGCGGCTTCGTACTGGGCACTGGCGGATGGTCATACCGACGTCGCCATCGAGATGCAGAAAGTGGTGGGAGCCATGTTTTTCGTCTGTTGCATTTGTGGTTGGTACCTGCTCGTGGCGAATTTGTTGGAAGTGCTCGAGTTCGGCTTCTCCTTGCCGATTGGCAATTTGAGTGACAAGCTGGGAAGAGTTGGGAAGGGCAAGATGCCGATTTATCGCGATCGTTCGAAGAGTGTGTGAGCAGAAAGTGTAGATCGATGTGACGAGTCTTGGTGGGAGTTGCCAACGTGTTGCTAGGCCAGGAGTGACCAGAACAGCGCTTTTGCAGGAGACGGATAGCGTGTTATTCACAATTCTCGCAGTGGTGGAGTTGTTTGATCATGTTTCGATAGCGAGATTTGTCCAGGAGGCATGGTTGTCGACGCTTGCATGGTACCCCTGCCAATCGTAAGTGAACAACATATGTGATGGAGAATGGTATGTACACGGCTATGAAAGTCTTTGTTATCTTGGATGAGGCGCTGTTCAGCCCTTCTGTCAATCTGTATGCTTCGCTTTTAACAAATGGGTATTATATAAACATCCTACACACATCCCCAACACCACTTTCACATATCCTCACTCCTGCGTTGGGAACAACCTCTCTAGGTCGACCACACACCAACATAATCCACCGCCATCTCCCTCCCACTGACCGTCTCATTCGTCGGCGTCTGCATGCCCGCAACAGCATTCGGATACGCTCCCCCCATGGCAACATTCAAGATCAGAAAAAACCCCGAATTCACCGTCTTCGTCCACGCACTCCCCAACTGCGTCTGCGACACAGTCCTCTTCAACTTGCGATCCACCCAAAATTTCACCACCTCGGGCTTCACACTGCGATCAATCACAATCTCATAAATGTGATAATTTCCCGGACATCGACTTCCACTACAGTTATACGTGCCTCCTAATCCATTTGGCTCATTACAGATTCCGCCGGGGTTGATATGGCAGTGAATGGTATTCACGACGGAATCTTGTCCATTGATATTTTCCATAATGTCGATTTCTCCGACACTGGGCCAACTCCAATAATTGTTATTCTGTCGAAAAGACGATCCGAGCGCCCAGAAAGCGGGCCAGTAGCCTGCTGCATTACTACCAATGACATTGGGGATTTTGATGCGTGCTTCGACGCGTAGTTTGCCGCCTACAGGGGCTTGGAAATTACTCTGTCGAGTTTCGAGGCGTGCACTGGTCCAGGTGCCGTTGCCGTTGTTGGTGTTGGATCGGGTGGGGATGATCCAGAGATCTCCGTTTCCGGCTTGACGGATGTTGTTGCCGCTGCTGGTGTATGTTTGGACTTCTTGGGTGCCCCATTGGGGAGGCCCACCCGGGTAGCTGGTGCCGGTTTGCATGATCCATTTCGAGCTGTCGGGCGCTGAGCCGGAGCCGCCGGTGAAGTCGTCGAGGAAGCTGTGCCGTGGAGAGTCAGTCATTGGCGCGAGACCTTTCTTTTCGAGATGAAGGATGGAGGCGTACAGAGTCTTTTTCCAGGATGTGTTTATAGTGCTCGGTGCTGAAGCAAGGGCAGAGCTGGCGGCGAATGCTAAAGTGAATGCTGAAGTCTTCATTGCTGCTGCTGCTGCTGTTGAAAGTGAAGTAAAGTATGGTAACGAATGTAATAGCGCTGTTGATATATCAAGCGCTGAAAGGAGAGTAGCAGTATGGACGGAATCAAAAGAATGGCAGACCTGTTGTAGCTAGAGAAATGAGAGTGGAAGTGAAGACGACAGAGGCAAGAAGATAATCAACGAGCAATATGCATTTACATCGACCTTCGCGTCCAGACCTGGGTGTTCCGTTGTAGCGCGAACATAGCAGTTACTTGTGAACACACTTCGTTTCACCGTCGTCGAGACCAGATTGTGCCGCCAAGTGTACCTTCTAGGAGGGAGCCAGAAAAGCCATCGTCCTCCTGTATGCCTGATTGGGCGAGTGCACCAATGTTGTGGCTTGAAGTTGTCTAATATGAGTCTGGACCAGGACGAGATGCCGCGTAGAAGTTCAGCTCTGTGGCGCTCTGGGGAACGCTCGCGTGCATGTCTTGTCGGTTCCGTGGCTTGATGCAAGATTGCAGAGGCTGGCTTCTTTTCTCAACGGCGGGTACAGCCATTGACAACCGTGAAAGGAGTGAGAGTACTGGTGTGCATATCTCTCCGAGTTCGAGGGTGTGATCTGGACAGTGGTCAACCTAGGAGGTACTAGAGCTCTTTGTCTAGAACATAATGATTGAGGACGCTCAGCCAGCATAATCGTGTGCATCATGTCTACTACGAGGTAGAGGCTAGGCTAGGCTACGCTTCGCTTCTGGTATAGACTTTCTGTCTGCTGTATAGACTTTGAACGAGAAACGCCCACGCGGAGAACACCCTGTCCGACAAAAAGGACATGCGTTCGCTCGAGAGGTGAATTGTCGAATCAAAAAGTCTCAGGGGCAACACCCGTTTCACAGAGCCTGACTCAAGATCCAGATTCTGTGCCAAGCTTCGTAAGGAGGCGTCAATAGCGTGGACGTGAATATATCCACGCACGCCACGTGCGAGTGATTTGCATCCGGTGGCGGTGGCGGTGAGCACCAACCAACTCTTGATGTTCTTGGCCGATCAACAAATCTTCAAGACTGCAAACGCGCGCGGCTCAACTGGAACAAGGGCGTCTTGTTGGTCTCAAGTCTGGAGACTGTAAGAAGAGAAAGAAAGAAGTGAGAGGAAAAAAGTACCATCAACATCACTATCGAACCAGCGGAGCCCCCCAGGGGTTGAAGATGGCATATCCTCAAGAAGTGCATCACTGCATCATTTGCAGTTATCAGCTCCAGTAATGAACTTTCCATCACTGTTCTCACAACCACACTTTCCGTTCCTAGGGTTCTTGATACACCCGGCACCATGACCCTCCTCCAGACCTTCTTCATTCCAGAAGAAACTCCAATGGTTCTCATCCGGGACGAACTTCGTCGGAACATCGCAAGTGTACGCGGTACAGTTGCCGTAAGGAGCACTGTATACACGATTCCAGATTAGCTCACCACTCAAAAAGAAAAAGAAGAAAAAAAAGGGGGGAATAGAAAAAAGACTCACCCATGGTTTTTATCCTTGTCGTGATCGATCACAAACACGGCAAAAGTCTGCTTCTCGTGCGTACGCGTGTTATGCGAACATTCGGCTGCCTGGATATCTTGGGAAAGTCTGGCTGGGGGGCTAAAAAAATATCAGATCAGTACATCCATACCGTCTGATTGCGGAAGAAAGCCCCAAAAAAGTTTCATAATGAGAGAGAGAGAGAGACATACCAATCAATGTTCACGGGCTTCATGCCCTTCGAGTTGCTCTCTGCGGGATCTAAAGTGCGCTTATGCAGAGAACGATGTGCCGCCGAGATAGGAGGGAGGACAGTAGCCAGCGCCCACGCCAGCGTGAGCGCAAGACCAGTCATGTAGGTGATCTGCATAGTGTCTGTAGTTGGCTAGTAAAAAGCTCCAAGAAGTGAGTGTGAACTGAAATGAGTGAACAGAAATGAGCGAAGAGAAAATGAGTGAAGTGAATATATCTAAAGAGCCTCTTTCTCTCCATCGCCGTCTCGCTTCCTCTTTATAGACAACTCAACCTACCTATCAACTGCCTGACCGACCCGGTCACTAACCGACCTCACCATCACTCTCAAAACCAAACTATCCGTAACCCCTTCTTCGGCCCCCCTTTCCAGCATATACTGTAGGAGGAGGAGGAGGAGGTGTTGGTGTTTCCCCACCGTCACCGCCGCACCGGGATCAAGAAAAAACTGCCGAAACACCTGTATTCCACCGCTTGTAGGGGTACAATTTGAATAAATCCCCCGTCCCCTCCTCCTGTTTTTTGATCGTCGCTAGGTTGAAATACCGTATTCTGAAGCGGGAAACCTATCGCTTGTAGAGTTGTAGATTCAAAAACTTCAGGGGTTGGGTACAGTACGGATAATAAGACTGGTTAGGTAGCTACAGTACGGTATTTAGCCGCTTGTAGAGAGGGCGCCTAGGTAACTCATCAGGCATTGTTTGTATGTACCGTACCGTACCCATGATGGCGTCCCATCTTTTCGAAAAAAATGCGATGGGACTCGGGCACTAATGTCGCAGGTGGTTTGAGATAGAGTGGATTTTCTTTGTAGTACTAGGAGAAGAGATGTTGTACAGGTTCTTTTTGTGGTAATCCGTTCATTTATCTATTTACCTGGCTACAGTAGCAGTGCTACTACTTACAGTGCAGTAGTGAGTGGTAGTACTAGTACAGTACCTAGGTACGTAGTATTCAGTTATTTATCCGTATTCTTTTGAAATACGAATACAGCAGCCGACGGGGAACGTCTATTATAAAAGTGTCAATCAGTCAGTCAACCAATCGATCAGTGTCTAACAGTCTCAACTCTCTCAACTCGCTTACCGATATCCAAATCCGCATATCAAGATGTGTAAGGATATGTATGTATCTACCTTTCCAGGCCATCTCAAACAGGTTGGGTTGGGCCTCGTATTGTTTCCAATCTATTCGAAAATGCACTACGGTTTCAACTATGTAGGGGAGCAAGCATCTCTACCCTAGCACACATACCAAACCAGCACGGCACGGCAAACGACACGACACGGCAAACAACACGGTAACACACATAGTCGGTCTGCTGGGTCGAATATAAGCAACTTTAAGAGAGCTGTGGGGTTGGCGATGATGAAAGGCTTGTATGTACCTCCTACTGTTGTAGTACCGAGTCGTTTGAATCGGCGCGGGCGATATTGCTTGATTAGGTAGGTTACAATGCTTCGAAAGTGCTTGAGTAGATACCTTGTGGTATGCCAATCTCTCTTAAGCACTTTCGTCGCGGGGCACAAGCATTATTCTTTATTGTGAAGTATTTCTCGTCTGTGAGAGGTAGATTGAATACAGACAAACAAACAAACAAACGGCAGATGTGGAGCTGAGGTCGAATAACAATAACTGGCATAGAACAAGAGGGCTCGATCATTTGGGCAACTACAGTACCAGAAGCAAAACTGCTTGCTCCATCCATGCAAAAGTTTCTAAGAGCCATGTATACCTCTAACCTGATGATCGCCGTACTGCTGGAGCCTGTCGATGCTGTCGTCCGAGAGAAGTAGAAAAAGGAGGTCATTCCAAGATAGGAGAATGGGGCCCCTGTATTCCCTGCAGAGTCCAGACCTTTCCGATCTCAAGTTCCCACTGGCTCTCAATGTCCACCACCAGCACCACTACTCGGAGGCAAATCCTCCTCTCGGGTTCCCCAATCACTTTCCTCGTCCCCGAGCATCAACTCGAGCGTACCTCCATTCAGAAAAAACTCGTGACCAATCCAGCTCTTCGTATACTCCATTCCATCCAGCTTTGCACTTTGTACAAAGATCTTTTCGTACCCAGGATCGAAACGCAGGTTCTTGATCGTCGCAACTTTCCCCGTGACTGGTGAAACATAACTGACACTCTCAAAATACGGCGGTGTAATCAGATACACATTCTGCCCTGCAACAGGAAACAGTCCCGACATGGCGAAGGCGATGAAAGATCCTTGCGCTCCGCTGTCGTCATTTCCCGGTAAACCATTCCACGAGTCGTTGAAAGAAGTCGGGATATATGTATGAAGTCTCTTCGCAGAAAGTCCCGGTCGTCCCGCATAGTGGTATTGGAAGCAAGTCAATTCGCTTGGTTCGTTGCCAATATCGAGAAGTCCCGTGTCGTGTAAAAAGTCCAAACGACGGACGAATTCATCGGGACCTCCTAATAGCCGAATGAGAGAGGCTTGGTCTTGGGGCACGAAGAAGACGTATTCCCAAATGGCAGATTCAAAGGTTTCGCGAGGGTTACTGGAATAGCTGCAGAATTTGGAGTCGAGAGGGGAACATTCCATGGGGTCTTGGAAACGCCAGGTACCATTGGCAAATCGGGGTTGGAAAAAGCCAGTGAAGGACGTGTCGGTGCCGTTGGGCCAGAAGGAGGCTTGTTCTGATTTGAACAGGTTTTGCCAATTGGCGCTTTGGTCGAGGTATTTGGCGTAGTCGGTATCATACCCGAGTCCACGAGCCACTTGTGCAATGGCAAAGTCATTGTACGCATACTCTAGCGTTCTACTTACGCTATGAAATGCTGGACCGAAGCCGAGATGGTCGTAGTCTTGGAAGGGGATGTAGCTGAAGGTGATGTCAGACGCATGTAGCTGAGGTATACAGAGCAGCCTTCATTTAACAAACCCGTATCGTTTCCAACTGTTGAGACCGCCACGCCCATTCACTCCCCAGTCAAAAGGTTCGTTCTCTGCATCATTGACAATGGCTTGATACGCAAGATTCCAGTCGATGCTAGAGAGATTTTTCACGTAGGCGTCCCCGATGACCACGTCTGCATTACTACCGCCTTGTGAGAAGCCCTTGGAAAGCTGCATTCGACAATCGGGTAGCCAGCCTAAATGGGTATATGTATCAAGTAAGCTTCGGATAAGATCCGATAGAACATCAGGTTGATAGACGGTGAGAAATGGGAAAGCGGTGCGAAACGAGTCCCATATGCTAGGAAGCAACATCAGTTCAGGAATCATGAGCACGGCGCCGACTCATACCAATAGAAGCTGTCGAAATAAGGCTCCGCGCTCTGCCAGAGGGGGTTCTCCCCCGTGTAGTTCTGAGGTGAGATCATCGTTCGATAAATGCCTGTGAAGAATGTCTTTTGCAGAGAATCGGAAGCACCGCCAGGCTCTATTTCGACGCCACTCATCTTGTGCTTCCAGATCGCTTTCGCAGCACTCCGCACGCGATCGAAGTCGAAGTCTGGTATCTCCGCCTCGGCATTGCGGCACGCTTGCTGCGTACTGACAAAGCTCACACCCACTCGAGCCTTCATCGTACCATTACCAGGCTTCTGGAAGCGGACGAAAGCGCCGGCTTGGATGTAGAACAGGCTGTAGCCCCGATTGACGAACAAGTCCTTCTGATCTGTTCCCGCTCGGCCGTTGACCCAGATGCCAGTGCTTTCGACGTTGGCGCCCTGAAAGTCCACGCAGAAATAGGACTGGTATGAACCAACGCCAAAGCTGGGCAAGAAAGTGCCATTACCCATGATCCGACCTGTATTAGCATCCACACTTACAGAAGCATTCTGGCGACTATCCTGAAGATCTGTGAGGTCCAGTAGGACGAGTGGACCAGGCTTCTCTGTCTCTGTCCAGAAGTGATATAGTGCTGCGTGCTCGGTCGTCGTCATCTCCATGACCATGTCATTTGCGAGTTTCAGCGAGAAATAGCCTGGTTCAGCCTTGACACTCCCATTGATAATATCTACAGCACGATCGAGTTTGGGGCCAAATCTGCAAGGGATTCCGGCACCAGTATCGCAGTACTGTATGGACAATGGAAAGTTACCCATACTCGGCTGCCCACCAGTTCCAGAATCATGGAGTGCCGAGAAGCCAGTCACATTGCTGCCATCGTAGCTGAAGCCGGCAGTATTCTGACCAGAGACATCGGCAACCGCTTTTGCCATTCCGAAGGGCAGAGTTGCTCCTGCGAACACGTTGCCACCATTGTAGGAGCCGATCAAGGGGTCGACGAGCATGTCGTTCTGGTTGCCGATGGCGTCTTGAGAGATGGCTGTTGTCAGTAGCGTGGCGGCTGCCAGGAGAGGCGCCGTCGGCCTCATGTCGACAATATGTAGGTTAGTGAGGTCGTGGTGAGTGTGTAGGAGGATGAAGACATGGAAGAAGTAGAAGCCGTATTGCCTACATGTTCCTCCTACCTTGCCTACATATAGCTTGGCAGATCAGATTGGATACATATATGTACCTAACTCCTACCCGTCCGACCTTACTTCCCGCTTCCAGTGCGCGTTTCCTGCAGTGCCAGTGTTACACATGCTATCCTCGCCCTCCGCCTCGTGATCTACCACCGATGCCGCCGATCTTTTCCAGATCCTCGGCCATGTGACGAGAGATCACATGCTCTGCGAGGTCGTGGCAGCATGGACGGGAGAGTTGTGAGTGAAGTTGACAGAGGTCAGGTAGAAGATAGAAGAAGAAGCAGAAGAAGAAGCAAAGAAGATGGGGGAGGTGGGTCTATACAGTAGTACATAGTACAATAAGGCTTCAGGAACCAGGGGAGGCTTCTTGGCGATCACGTCCTCGCCAGTCGCGTCTTCAGTTCAATGGAGTCTACATGTACCTACTAAGACTGCCCGGAAACATCATCGCCGCAACAATAACAACAACAACATGCCGCCACAGAGCAGAGGCACACCGCCGAAGCCACTTCTCTCGAAGCCTCTGCCCGTGCCATCCGGCTTCCAGAGCAAGTCCACCCCCAACCTCCCGACGCTGAAGACGCTGGACACTCGTCGGAGCAACCACCACGACACCCACGCGACAGCTACATCCTCCGACATTTCCGGCGACAACATCACATCGCCCTCAGAGGCCGCCTCTATTGAAGACTTCGCCCTCGACTCCGCCCTCCCCTCCCTCTCCCCTGGCTCCACCACCGACGACGACGGCCAAGCAGACTCTGCAGAAGGCGAAGATGGCCACGTCCCAAATCTCCCGACGCGTCCCATCTACCACCACCATTCGCGCAGTCATACCTATCTCGGCCCTTCTGCATTTGCGCCTCCCTTCTATGGACGACCACCCACCCCGCTGCCCCCGTCTCCCTCCTTGACCTCCCTCCTCCGCCCCAATTTCAGCACCCACAACAGTAGACCTACCACACCCGACCCTTCCAGCGACGAAGGCGGAACCACGCATCACCACACACGCGTGGGAGGAGGAGGAGGAGGAGATGTAACCGGCACCCAAACGCCCAACTCTGCCGCAGCCTCCACTCTTGCGAGCACAGATTTCCGCTCTCCCAAACAACCCATCCCCCGCGCGAGTCCCAAAGTCCCCACGTACGAATACTACGGCTTCACCCTCTATCTCACCAGTAGTCTGGCCTTTATCGTCTACTTACTCTGGTCATTCCTTCCTTCTCCCTTCCTCCATCAGCTGGGCATCTACTACTATCCCAATCGCTGGTGGGCGCTCGCGATACCCGCATGGATGGTGATGTTGGTGCTGTACATCTACGTCGCGCTGGCGGCCTACAATGTGGGCTATTTGACCATACCGCTCCACAGAGTAGAATGTTTGGTGGACGAGGCGGCAAATGTGGCTGTGGTGGACGAGGGGGGCAAGGTCATTCGGACTAATGAGAGGGCGAGCTGGAGAGGCGTTGAAAATGGGAATGGAACTGCTGGGAAGAAGGGGCAAGGAGGTGGAGGAGGAGGAGGAGGGGCTGGAAAGGTCAAGCGTCGCCAGTCGAGTACAGGTAAAGCTCAGCTCCAGCTACAATCGAAAAGTCACCCGCCTCCCGAATTGGATTGGAGGACGTTGTGGACTGAAGGGACGGATGCTGTGATGGACATACCCATTGGAGGGGTTTGCGAGATCTTGTATGGCAAATATGATGATGACGATCGCGACGACAATGATGATGATGATGATGACGGTCATGAGGATTATGAGTGACGAGTGCAAGGAATGAAGCAAGTCTTCATCTACCTAGTGAAGCAAGTCGTAATAGACAAATGTCTGAACATACCTCTACCAAAGCACAAGCTTCAGCGCTGGCCCCTTTCATTCATCTTCCCTCTGACATTTCTTTCTTCCAGACGGACAGACACGTCAAAGTGAAAAAACACATCTCAGTCAGATTCTCGTTTTGATCTCAAGTAAAGACCTAGGTACCCAAGGTACATGTACCTGTCTCTACCTTATCCAGCATGACCCTCATCATAAGCCCTCTCCCCAGGTGCTCGAACCTTCTTCAACGCTCTCTTATTCGCCTTGCCATGCTTCTTACTCAACCTCAAATCCGCCGGATCAATATTATTCTCCAACGCCGTCATTTGCTTCAATTTCCTTCCACTCATTTCTTTGCCCTGTTCCGAATACTTGTAATGGAACGGTCGCACCACATTCCCGCTCCCCTGGCCCGCTTTGAAGAATTCCTTTTCGAGCGCTGCACCCTTTTTTCCCATGGTTGTGGCTTGTAGTGGTAGGTCCATCTCGCCGTCGTCCATGAGTGTCATGTCCTCGGTTCCTGCAATGGATGTGATGTCGTGCGCTGCGAGACGGGCTCGGCGTTTTTCGGGAAGATGCGCCAGATCGTACAATTCCCGATTGAATTGCTTGGGGTCAATGGGTGGCTCGGGGGGTGGATGACAGAAGAGCAATTTGCCCTTGACGTAGTCTTTGAGCACTGTTCGAGCAGCACGAGCTTCGTCGGGTTGGCCGAGACCTTGCGTCCAGAAACCTCGGGCGCGCGCGAAAGATCGAAGCACTTCTTCCCCTGTGGGCACACCAGTACCTCCTTCTTCGAGGGGTCGAGTGACGATCTTCATGCCGTAGAGGGCTTCGAGGTAGTGCTGGGGAATGCGCTGGGCGACGAGGGCCCCTGGGCCAGTGTACTCTCGCAATTGGTCAATGGGAAGCACACCAGCGAGAACCAGCTCGGCTTTTGTGGTGGCAAAGTTGGGGAAGACCAAACCAGGACAATCGCAAAGAATGACCTTGTCGGACAGGTGGAGGGTTTGGAAGTGCTTGGTCTTTCCGGGTGTGGCAGAAACAGATACCTTCTTCGCGCCGAGTAAGGCGTTGATCGTCGACGACTTTCCGACGTTGGGGTATCCTACAAGACCGATGGCGGTCTTTCGCGCCTGTGCGTCTTTACCGGTGGGAGATGCGGGGGAATGCTGCAGGAAGAGCGCTTCGAGGTCGTCCGTGGTCAAGATGCGTGTCTGCTCTTCGAGTGACAATTGCTCCTGCGGTGGCTCCGGGATTGGGTCTGCTTCATCCCCACTCGCCTCGTCCTCGTCGGACCACTCTTCATCTTCATCCTGCTGGTCCTGAACTTTCATCTTCTGTGCCTGCTTCGAGAGATTTTTCACGTCTGCTTCAGGGTCAATCTCTTCTTCGACGTCGTCCTCATCCAGCTCGTCTGAGTCTTCCTCGGACCCAGACTCTTCCCCATCTGACCCATCTCTCGCCTCGTTCATCTCCTTTGCCAACTCAGCAGAGAAGAAACGGAACGCGATACCTCGCTCGTGAAAGTACTTGGCCCAGGCCGCTCTTTGCGTCGGCGTCATCATATCAGCTTTGTTGATGAGGAGCAGATTCCTCTTCTTGCCACCATCCAGCTCCTTGACGTAGCGCTCTAAATCGGCACAGCGGTACAGCAGAGGATTCCTAGCATCCACAATTTGCACCACCAGGTCCGATCGCTCCACCACACGCCATAACTGTCTCCAGACCTCCAAGTTGCGCTCAAAGGGCGTCATAAGCAAGTCGTCCACCTCTTGAACCTCGGCAAGGCCTCTCCTCCACTCCAGCAGGCTCTCTCGCTCTCTCGTGTCCAGCTGCATTGGTGTGGTATCCTTGTCCCACTTGGGTCTCCTTGGTACCGTCAGACGCTCTCTCTTCGCATTCTGCTTCCTTACTACGCCTCTTTCCTCCGCCTGACTCAACAGGTACGGGTTCTTCTGGTCGGTGTGTATGATTTTCACATTGTTCATCTTTTCCGCCGTGAAGTCTGTCCCGGCCAATTCAGCAGTGCTGAGGAACTCGTCGAGCGCGCCCTGCTCGGTGACGGAGCGCATCTTGACCCATTCAGCCTCTTTCCGCGAGTTCGTGACATACTCGACGCCGTTCTGGTCCTTGCGCACAATGCTGCCGTCTGTCTTCTGCTTGGCGCTGCCCTTGTGCATGTTGGTGTTTTTGTTCTTGCCGAAGCGATCATTCATGAGGCTGTTGCCCAGCCCCACGGCATTCTTACTCTTTGCCAATACCATGTTGGGCGGCTGTGAGTATGTGGTGTGGGATGTGTGCAGTGTTGGGGAAAGGATGGAGTGACAGAGACGAGGCGAATCTTCTTCACATGCCCGCCGCTAAAATTGCGTCACAAGCGAGGGCGTATACGGAAGCCCAAAGTGGCCAGCCGCCACACGTCACCCCCGGCTTTCTTTAGCTTTATCTTCCTACTACTTCCACCCTTCTACCTACTATATACTACCACACATACTCGCTATACGCTCGCCGCCTACCTCGCCGTTACCGCCGTATCCGTCGCTACCTACTAATATGCCTCGGACATATATACCTAGAGGACTACGCGCTATAGACTATAATAACTATTAGGTCTATATCGCTATATAGCTCGTAGAAGGTATCTCGTAGAGGCAGATTATCGCTAATCTATACTAGTAGTTCGATATTTCTATCGTAGAGCGTATATTCGAACGACGGCTATAAGCCTAGGGCCTTACTATAGCCGCTATACCTTTATATTGTCGATAGTACGATATCTTCGACGAAGACGACAGCTTGCGTATACATATAGTATATACCTATACTAAGCTATAACTTATAGATAGCGAGGCAGTTACGATTCTAGCGATTAATAGCTAGAAAATTAGTATAAGGATATATCGGCGTATACGTAAAGAGCTAGGGTTTAGGAAGTAGATACTAGTAGTAGAGCAAGTATATACTAAAGAGTTAATCGCTATAGTACTCGTAGACGAGCTTACTAAGTTAGAGGTAGAGGTATATAGTAGGAGGAACCTATATATATATCTACGTTTAGAGATAAATATAATTAGGAGGTATATAGGCGCTCGCTGTCTGCTCGCTTGCTAAATCGCTATCGGCTAACCTACTTAAGGACTATATCTACTATATTATTAAATTGCTTAATCCCGATAGTGTTTAGCGGCAATACGAGAAGGCTAGAGAGTACTATAGTACTGTTATTATACCTAGGCCGTTAGCGGCAATTTCAATAGATACGTACTATAAGTTCGAGTACTAGGGTATTTAGATATATAGCGTAATCGACGTATACGCGCGGTATATAGAGTAGATTTACGTCGGAATTACTAGTAGATCGGCCGTTTCGGTACTCGCTTAGTATATCGCGATACTATACTATAGTAGATACGCGCCGGTAATTATACGCTCGGATCGTAGAGGTAAGACTATTCTAGCCGCCGATACGTACTATATAGTACGTTATACCGCTTACGACGTCGAGAATACTAAGCGTAGTACTCGCGGCGAGGCCTCGTTACTACTACTACGATTCGGTAAATACTTCCGATATAGTATAAGTAAGATAAATCAGTATATCGAGGTATAGTAGAATTAGTAGGCTAAGGCGCTAAATAGATAGCGTACGTACTTCTATAGCTTAAATACTACGAACGAATTTGACCTAGAGTTATTAGGCGATCGTATTACCTTCCTAGCGATCTATACTACGATTCTCCGCAAGATAGTAGTAGGATTCGTAAAGGTATAGAATTACTATAAGATTCGGAGGCAAAACAATCGGCTATACTCGATTCTAGGCATTCCTTACGTATTATAGCATTATCTAGAGCTCTATAGCGCTATATAGCAAGGTATACGTATACCTAAGGAGGTTCTACAGACGCTCGAAGGGATACTAGAAGGATTTGATATATATACTCGCTCTACTCGTAGCCTGCTCGCTAACTTAATACTATAGACCTCGAGGCCTTTCTTCCCGCCGATATCTACAAATAGTACAAAGCGAGCCTCCTCCCCTATAGCTTCGCGCTACCTATTAGTAGTACGTCGTACAACGTAGCGACCGGCGACCGTACGTACCGTACGGCCTATATTACCCTACGTAGCCTAGTAAATAACTATATTAGCTTAGAACAATAGCTAATACTCGGTATACTTCTAAAGCTATTAGTAGTAAGAGATTGGATACCTACGCGCTAGACGGCGGAAGTATTTAGAGATACTAGCAACGCGCTAATCGCGAACGAGGATTTAGGTATTATCGAGTTCTATAATAATCCGTAGGCTATAGGGCTAGTATCTCCTCTACGAGTATAACTACGAGCTAAGCGAGCTAAGCCCTCTAGGGTATATATTACGGTACGTACTATTATTTGAATTCTTTTCTATATATATATATATACACTCTCTCTCTCTACCGACCTATTTACTATAGCCGACAACCTACCTAGCCTCTAGGCTAAATACTGTCTAGTCGTACCGTCGATTAGATATAGCGTTATATTCTATAAGTTCAATTTCTGCTCTTAGTACTATTAGCTTAATCTAAACCCTCTATATACTAAATTCGTATACGAACTATTATACGTACTAGAAAGTAGCCGTCCGGTAACTCCGGTTACTAGATAGCCGCCGCCGCCGCCGCCGCCGTAGCCGTAGCCGTCGCGATCGTAGTAGCTAGTACCTACGTACTAAGTAAAGGTTAGTCGCCTTAAAACGATCTATACAGCGAGTACTTAGCGACGGTTAATAGGGTTTCTAGATATTCGTAAGGATTCCGTAGTACGCGAATACTATATATAACGAGGCTAATATTGCGTTTAGGGCTAAGGCCGCTATAGCCGTCGTACCGTACGCCGGTACGCTACCGCCGACTATATATTAGTAGTATACGCCGGCCCTACCGTCGTCGCGGTTGAATCCGCTGCCTCCGGCTATCTCGTTTAGTATTAGCGTTATAGTATATATATAGCGAGTTACTACGCGAGCTCTAAAGAATAACGACGAGTAGAAGTACTACGATCCGGTTGCCTATACCGACCTCTATAACTATTAGACGGATCGCGATCGAGTAGCTAATAGCGCTAAGAAGCTGTTAATAGAATTTATACTCGCGCGATTCGAGCTAACTAAGTTACCTACGTAGCCTATTACAGCTATTAAAGACTTCTACGACGTATTCTTCGTACGATTATTCTATCTAGAGACTAATAAGCCGAACCGTATATTATCTACGAGTATCGCGAGTACCGACGTCCTCGAGTCTATAGAGGTATTCAAAATACTACTATCTAGCAGATCTACTATACGTACCTACAAAGCTATTATCGTCGTTTAGTAGTACAAACAACTAAGGCAAAAGCGTAAGGATAGGGAGGGTACTATAGTATTACGCGCGATACTATTACGCGCGATACTAGTAGCAAGCGTAGCGAGTAGCCGTATAACGCCCGTAGTATTAGAAGTCCTCGAGAGTATCGAACAGCTCTACGCCGATAAGTACGACGACGACGGCGAGGATAACGACGAGCTTAGCGAGGCCGACGACGACGACGACAGCGTACTAATTATTAAGAAAGAGAAGGTATTATAGACAGAGAGCGTAACTAACGCCCGCAAGCTACCTAAGTTTGTCGAAATCGACGGTAATACCGATATAGACAACGCTTATATTAAGAAAGAGAAGGCATTATAGATAGAGAGCGTAACTAACGCCTACAAGCTATCTAAGTTCGTCGACTTAGAAGCGACGCTAGCAGCGAGCGCGACAAGTAGTACTACCGGTACGGCGATACTAGTAGCAAGCGCGACGAGTAGTACTGCCGCTATACCTATAGCTAAGCGATATAAGCTAGCGGTTCCAATCGGAGAGAGGGTAATAACTAGAGCGCTAAGTAAGAAATAAATCGCCGCGCTCGCTATTAGTATCGATAGATATAAGCCCGTAGGGCCCCCGGGGCCTAACGCTATAGCGGTTGCTATTACTACCGCCGGCGCCGCCCGGTATTACTTATATAGAGCGTAGATACGAGTAGAAAAGACTAATTTTTATAGCTATCTACTACTATCGACTTATATCTACGACGGTATACCTATATTATAGAGTTTGCGTAGGGTCGGCAGACGATCCGATTCGTCGGGTATGCCCGGCGCTAGCTTATATTCGCTAACTCGCTATAGAAACGCTATAGATCGCGCGTAGCCTACCTAACTCGCTATACTCGCTATAGTATATCGCTACTATATATATAAATAGGTAGGTAGGTATATATATACCTATCTACTAATTATTCGTACGCGGAATCGCAGTCGATTCCGGTATTAATACTCTACCCTACGGCTATACCGCTATAGCTATATTATAGACTATACGCCGGAGCTCGTCGACGTACGGTATAAGCTACTCTACCTAATCCTCTAATTTGCCCGTCCTATTTTGAACGGTCCCTACTATAGCCTATAGGCTATCGACCGTAGCCTATAGCGCTTTAATAGTAGCCTTTAGCTAGGCGATTCGCTACAAATCGCTAGAGGAATCGTTAATAGGTATCCCGGCCTAATAGCCTAACTTAGTATATCGCTTGTAGTAGGTATAGATAATACTATTCTTTACGTCTACCTTATACGGCGCGTCGCGTAGACTGCGAGTATACTAGTAATATAGATCTAGCGTATTAATACCCTCTATAGTCTCTATAATTCGGCTAGCTTAGTCGAACTTCTATAGGTTATTTTTCGCGACCTTCTTCTTCGTCGCGTCGTCGCCCGTAGCCTCGTCTAACTAGCCCTACTATCTTTCGACTAAGTAGAACTAGAAGTTGCTAGAGTCTATAGTAGTAGGCCGGCGTAGGTATAGATCGGGGGTATATATAGCCCTATATATAGCGAGTTAGTAGAGATTCTAGTAGAGATTTAGTAGCGAGTAAGGCTAGCCTACCTAGTATCGTCCTCCTTATCCTCTTTATCCTCCTCCTTATCCTCCGAGGTATCCTCGGTATCGGTATCCTTGTCTATAGCGTCGCCGTTATTTATCGTAGATATGTTCCTACCGAGCGCTACTAAAGCAGTAGATACGAGGAATCTACGGTATATTAGTAATATACGAGTTTACGCGCCGCGCAATAACGTACTAAGGTTCGAATAATATAGTTATCTACGTCTACGGTAGTAGAGGAGAGAGAGTAGACGTATTATAGTAGTAGATTCTTTCTTCGAGTTGCTATAGCAATAGCTTTATTATATAGGTAACTTATTATTAAGACGACGGATCCGGCGACAAAGAGAGAGGTAAGGTAGCGACGGATGCGGCGGTAACGGCGAGGTAGGCGGCGAGCGTATAGCGAGTATATGTGGTGGTGTATAGTAGGTAGAAGGGTAGAAGTAGTAGGAAGATGAAGCCAAAGAAAGCCGGGTGACGTGTGGCGGCTGGCCACTTTGGGCTTCCGTCGGCGTATTTCTAAGGGTCTTTTCCCACCCCACTCTTTGATTTAGAATTTGATGGGGTCTGCCTAAATGTCTATTCTGCACTGACAACTTTTTTTCTGTCGAAATAGCTGCACACAACATCTATCATCTCCAGCGAGGGTACCGGGAAAGAGTAGAGCAACATGCCGCGCCAACGCCCCTTCTCCAAGAAGACGGCGACAACCTTCAACCTCGTCCATCGCGCGCAGAACGACCCGCTCATCCACGACGAAAATGCACCGTCGATGGTGCTGGCCGAAAAGGCTCAACCACGACGTCCCACGCAGGACGACTACGCCTACTCTGCTGCTGGCTCCGTCTACTCTGGGGCTTCCTACAAGTCTTACCGATCGCAAAAGACGAAACAGCGAGGCGATCTGGAAGGCGAATTTGGACAGAATGTGAGGAAGAATGAGGGCGAGGCAGCACAGCACGGTGTCTTTTACGATGATACATCGTACGACTACATGCAGCACATGCGAGACCTGGGCGGCATGGGAAGTCAGTGGGTGGAGGCCAAGCAGGCCGATGACAAGAAGAAGGGTAAGCAGAAACTCGAGGACATGCTCGCGGATAGTCTCCATTTGGATGACGACGGCGCCAGCATGACGAGCAGTACAACGAGCAGTGTAGCACGAAGTCTGTTTCCCGAGGAGATCTTGCCGAGCGAGTTCGTGAAGAAGAGGTCGTATCAAGATCAGCAGGATGTGCCAGATGAAATTGCCGGCTTTCAACCAGATATGGATCCTCGATTGAGAGAAGTGTTGGAGGCCTTGGACGACGAGGAGTATGTGGACGATGACGAGGACATCTTTGGAGAGCTGACACAGGACGGATACGAGCTGGACAGAGACGAGTGGGAAGAGGGAGCTGAGGGACAATTTCTCGACGACGAAGAGGATGAGGGCTGGCAAAGCGACGACACGATCAAAGCACCTGCAAGCCCCCGACAAATGCCCCGAGAACTCCAAATGCCCGACGGGGCGCAACTAGAGCATCCTGAGGATGTTCTGCCACCCGAGGATCCCCTTGCCGAACCCACTGCAGATCCCGCAGCAGGCGCATGGGATTTCATGAAAGAGCACAAGGCATCCTCTGCTTCCAAACCCCAAGCAGCAGCTCCTTCCTTCCATGATGCCTCCCTGATATCCTCTCTTGCGAGTGGTCGGCGAAAGAAGCGCAAAGGAGCCAAGACCTCTACGACCAACTACTCCATGTCTTCGTCTGCTCTCGTGCGGAAAGATGCACTACGAACCCTCGATGAGCGTTTCGACAAAATGGAAGAAAAATACAGCCTGGAAGAGTTTCCTGAAGAAGAAGAAGAAGACGAGTACAATGCAGACGTACAATCCCTGGCATCTGGTATGACTGGCATGTCCACCGCATCTCGTGTTAGTAAAGCCTACAGCAACATCTCTGGCATGAGTGGCACGAGCAACATGAGCAAAATGTCGAGTTATTCGAGGGCGAACGACGCGGAAGCCCCGAAGCTTGTGAGGAGTGATTTGGATGGTATGATGGATGAGTTTTTGAGTTCGCACAACAAGGCTGGCAAGTATGGTCAGAGGGTGAGGAGAGGAGCTCCAAAGACTGGTATGGAGCAGTTGGATGAGATTCGGCAAGGTTTGGGTGCTGCGAGGTTCGGGAGTAAGACTAAATCGAAGAATCACCAGCAGGTTCCGGTAAAAATAGGGTAGAACCCCCCTTTCCTCCTTCCTCTCGAGCAAGCGAGGTGTTGTTAGCGTTTCTTTTCACTTCTGTTCATACCTATACCCAGCTAGAATTATAGCTCATAACGAAATACAGGCGTTGTACATTCGCATGCGTACCTCATTGTATTCACAACATATCAATACCGTGATCTTATATTGGCGGGACACGCCCACTTGGCCGGCCAGAACACTCTCCCGCACACCCCACCCAAGCATTAAAATTCTCCACCCCATCTCTCGGCCTCTCCAAAATCTCCACTCCACTCCCCTCAATCCTCCCCCCCAGCATCGCCACCTTCACCATCCCCGTATTCCCCTGCCAAGGCTTCGAGAAAAAATTCATCCCCGCGACAACATAATACGCCGACGTCGAGCTCCCGATTGTAATTGTTGCAGACCCGGCTTCCTTTGCTAATACGATTGCAAAAACTTCATCTTGGAGAATTTCTTCTAGGGGATATTCTTGTTGGTATCCGTTGGGGTTTGTAGGGGATTGAGCGTTATTTCCTACGACATTTGTTGTTGTTGATGATGATGATGATGATGATGATGTTGCTGCGGGAGTGGTTCGGTACCAGTAGATGATTTTGTTGGAGGGGATGATTGGAGCTGGATGATTATTGTTGTTGTTTTTATTATAATAAGCGTGTTTGTAAGCGGAAATTTGAAAAGGTAGAGTCTGCAACCAGGCTTCGTGAGGATAATTTTTCACGTATGTTTCTGCGCCGGTAGGGATGCCGGAATTGTTGAGGATAGGTCCGATGTAGTGCGCTTCGCCGTAGTCGTTCCACGTCACAATTTCGACGAATTGGGGGAGCAGGGTGAGGGTTTGGTTCCAACGGAGGGACCAGGCGTTGTCGCCGCGCCAGACCCAGGCTTTGTGGTATTGGGGGAGATTGGTGTAGAACCAGGGTGAGACTCCCATCATGAAGGTTTTGCTGGAGGATTTCATGGTTGTTTGCCAGGTTTGGTCGGAGAGGGTGTTTACGTCTGTGGGGCCGTTGGGCCACATGTCCCATGAGACTGGTGGGACGGTTACAGTTAGTGACAGATGATAGAATATAGGAGTCTTTTTTTTTTTCTTTCTTTTTTTATGATGGATGATATCACAATCAGTAGAGACTTACAAGCACCATCAACAAGACTAGCATCAAAACCTGTCGGGCCCAAAGACGTCCAGCACGGAACCAAATAAATCTCACCCACGCTGGATTGGAGAGCAGAGCGAATTCCCGGCCACGCGTTGACTTGATCGGACGTCGTGCCTTCAAAAGTCGAAACAAAGGGCTTTCCATCGACTTTGAAATAGGATTTTTTCGGTCCATATGCTTTGAGAATCAGTTCAATATCTGCTGGCGTCCAGGGGCCTGCTGTGCCTCCGAGATAGTCAAAGGAGATGAGAAGTTTGAAATCTCCTTGGCCGGAATTGATGAGGGAATTGGCGGCGAGGTAGGCATAGCTCTGGATAGAAGAAGATGTAGCATTGTTGGTTAGTGTGTTACTATTGGTACTACTACTATCTAAGAAACGAAGGGGAGGGATAAATTCAAAGACGTACGAGTTGAGTTGCGGTCGTGCCCTCGAAGGGTGTGCCGATATTGAGTACAAAAGCATCGATTCCGAAACTGGATGCTAAAATGATGTCTTTCGTCCAGTCTTCTTGGGTATACGCTCCATTGTTGCCGACAATGACATGTGCGAAAACACTCTGGGCTAGAGTCAACGCGGGAAGGAAAGCGATGGCTTGTAAGAGGGTTTGCGACCAATTCTTGAACATTGCGACAGTCTCCAGAGGAGTCTTGATGTTGTTGTTGTTGTTCTTGTATGTGTGTGTATGTCTTTTTTTTAACTTGTGATGGTGTTGTACACTTCACCTCCCTTGTACCCTTTTCATCCTGTAACAATGGTTGATCCGATGGCGTTCCTTTTTACGAGATTCCTTCAGGATGATCATGATGAAGTCGGTCCACAGTCGGACTTGCATTACTGCTGCAAAAGTATCTTACGGACTTTACACACACACACACATACACACACCTCCAGCAGTCTCGTTATTGATCAACTACCTTCTTCATTGAGACCAGGTTGCATCTCGCCCTATATTACCGAACTCGAAATACCGGTTTAACGCAACCCTACAGTAGTGATAGCATGAGCTGTAGAATCCTTCCGATGTTATACAAGCCTTGCCCTCTGCCTGGGCTCGAATCCTTCCAATCTACAAACGCGAAGGTCAGCTCGGTTGTACTGGTGGATTCATGCTTGTGATCCTTGCTGGAATAAATTGATTGTGCAGTGGTGTAAGTACTGTGACCGAGAGACTCTATTCGAGCGCTTGTGCTGCACATCTTCTTTAGCGACATTATATTCGCTTCTATTTGCAGCCTGCAATGGCTGCATCTTCATGCCATCGAGGACCATTGTTCGGGAAATCTGGTTCGAGCTGGAGGATTCTTTGTTTTTTTTGCGGCAGAAATGCGTAGATCCACTCGTGTGATGGTCGGGTAGCGAGTATTTGGATCAGCTTTCCCAGTTACATGTACTCACCTCAGTTGTGACGAGAAAGTTCCTTACTAGAGCCTTTGGAACGTTGCTTTCGGTACCTTGTGGTATGATACTGGACGATATGTGAGCAAGGACTCACTTACTCAACTCTACATTTACAACAGCGGCAGTCGACTCGAGTCGACTTTCAAAAAAAGAAAAGATGGCAAGCACTGCTCCAATAACCACGTCTGCGACAGCGACCACTGCCACAGGACCTGTTACCGCTCTAACAACCACATTCACGCCACCGGCAAAATGTACCGAACAGTCTCTGATGTTCACGATGCTCTCGGCGCCGAATTATGAAGTATGGGCCAACGTAAGTCTTTTGTTCCCTCTCTTGAAAAAGCTCCAGTATGTATACGGCACGAGAGACTTAAAAATGATCGAAAACAGGAGCCTATGCCCGTGAGCTCAAGTACAGTGACAGAGTGTTATCCTAGCGAATGGATAGGAGCATACCAAACTGCCAATACCTCTTCTATCGTGCCAGCAATGTCTCCTTTAGTCTGCCCACTGAGCTGGGAGACTGTTATGACTGCACCCGGAAACTACATTGCATGCTGTCCTCCGTACGTATCGTATCCTCCATCCATCTGAACTTACCTTAGGTATTCATCAATCTCGTGAGCTAGCTAACTAACAGTGCTTTCCCCCAACCAGTGGTTTCAGGCGAACAGACCCCAAAACTACCGTCGACGGCTACAGACCTTTTTATGGAGGAACCTGCTACTCCGAACTCCCCAGCGGATCGGCTGTACGGGTAACTCAGTATAACAATTTGAGTATCAGTGCGACGGTGACTTTCACGGCTAGTAGTCAGAATGTGGGACTTTATGCACATCCTATCGATGGGTATGCGTATCAAGCGCAAGAAACTATTTTTGTTTCTTCAAATGTAAGTTTATATTTCTTGGTTTTGAAGAAAAGGAGAAGAAGAAAAAGGAAAAAGAAATCAGGGCCTGTGTAGGACTTATATGTTTTACTTATAGGCGACATCTTTATCACCATCCTCCTCCTCCTCCTCAAGTCTCGCAACTCCCACTTCCACTCCCACCCCCAACTCCAGCAAAACTCTCTCCAACGGCGCAATCGCAGGCATAGTCATCGGATCCCTCGCCGGTATAGCCACCGCTCTCCTCCTCCTCTTCTTCCTCCATCTCCGTCTCCGTCGAGCATCCACCACCACCACCCCTCCACTCCATCCACCAGAGACGGTCGAAATCGACGGAAATGAAATTCAGAAAGAACTCGACGGGACGCAAGTCTTTGAAATTCAGGGTTTTGCGAAACACCCGATTGCGGAAGTCGAAGGGAGACTTTCTTCTTCTTTTTTGCAGAGGGCGGAGTTGGAGAATGGGAAAGTTGCTGGAGCTGTGGAATTGGAGGCGGGGAGGCGGGAGGGGGAGGAGGGGAGGGATGGGAAGGTGGGGGTGTAGGATAGGGTAGGGTAGGGTAGGGTAGGGTAGGATAGGATAGGATAGGGTAGGGTAGGATTGGGTAACTTGGGTAGGTAGATTTGGTTTTGGGGATTTTTTAAAGGAATTTGTTGGCGGCTGTGGGAGGGGAGGGGAGGGGATGGGGTGTTGTTTGGTGGTGAAAAGTCTTTCTGTCTCGAAATGAATTAACTTGGAATGATTCAATTCAGAACGACTCAATTCAGAACGACTCAATTACAACACTACACCTAGGCGGGGACTTCTACCCCGGCTGCCGGTCTGTATATAGCCATTATATACAGTATGCGAACCTCATTTGACATGATTAATAAGCAGCATCAATGGTCTAGTGGTTAGGATTGCTGCCTTCCAAGCAGCAGGGGGGGGTTCGATTGTGAGTACAGCCATAATCGTTTGCAACACACGGCCATCGTCTAACATCTACAACAGCCCTCTTGATGCAATCGGTTGCGTGATATTCTTTTGCATCTGTCTTGGAGTATACCTGTGTTTTTGTCAGATTGACAGTAGCCTGACGCATTACCTACAGTAGGTGCCTACCTACTTCACTTTTGGCGGGCGCTTAGTCTTGGCATCCCTGTCCCCGCAGTGAATCAAGTCTAATCAAATTTAGCTCAGATATTGATAGAAGAATTGTTATAGTTCTCTGTTTTTATATACTGGGACTACGACAGGTTTGAGTATGGCATTCGAGCAGGAATATGGAGTTTGAAGAGCGGTATAGTATGGCGAGTTGGTAGAACGTTTGGGAAACCATAGCTCATCGTCATCAACTTGTGCAACTCCTCCCAGACTGAGCCACATCAAATAATGCCATGCCCATAGGTAGCCTAGACCGCCACAGCATCGAACCAACAACTGCCTGAATACAGCTAGACATGGACAAAAAATGCCGTATTGTTCCCCCTCCCCCAAAAAAAGGAAGTCCATCAACAAACCTCCCCAAAAAGTCATTCAATTTCAAGAATTAAAAATCCTCGAATAAAGCAACTCATGCCTCCCCATCCACAAATCCATCACCGGAACCTCCGTCCTCGCATCCTCCCACGACCTTGCCTCATTCCCTTCAATACACTTCTGGATCCAATTCTGCAATTTCCCACTTGCCAGAATCGCTTGGTTTTGATAGGGGCCGAGAATACTCGCTCGCACGGCGGCTGAGAGCACGGCTTTGGCGTGGTTGAGAAGGAATATATATGCCGTTGAGTGGCGTGAGAGGGATAGGGCTGCGCAGATTGTGCCGAAGAGGGGGGCGAAATGGGCTTGAGGGGGGGTGGTGGTGGGTGGGGGTACTAGTTCTGGAAGAGATGATGGATGGTTTGGGGGAGGAGGGGATTTGAGGGCGAGGGAGAATTTGTGCAGGGATTGGGATGCGGAGGTGGAAGTAGTAGTAGTAGTGTTAGTAGAAGAGGAATTCGAACAAGTCGATGCAAAGGCTCGTTCCCATACACCCATTAGCGCTCGACCTTGATTAATAGATGCTCGGCGCGCGACTGTACAGAGTGTACTAGCGTCCAGATCATTATCCAAATCGAAGAGCTGAGAGGGAGAGTGCCAGGCGGTCAGGAGATATGGGAGAGAAGTCGAAGCGAGATTGTGGAGGGATTGTTCGAGAAACGTCTCAAAGGCGGAAAGACGGGTTGCGTCGTGGCTTTTGGGGCCGCTTAGGTTGTGGTGGGCGAGAAAGGATTCTAGACCGGAACTGTAGGCGAAGGAACCTAGAGGCAGGGCCGAGTCGGAGAGGAGGAGGAGATTGTGGAGGGATGGGTGGGAATTTGTTGTTGTTGTTGTTGTTGTCGAGGGTGGTGTTGGGTGGATGGGTAGAGGGTTTGCTTCTGGGGATGTTGGTTTGGAGGTTGTGGCTGGTGATTCTTGTGAGGTTGGCCGTGGTAGTTGTTCTTGTGAGGCTAGTTCACGGCTTTCCATTGCGAGAGGTTGATAATGAGACTTGCATTCGGATACAAGAGCTGGGGTATTGGAGGATCATGATATACATTCACCGCATTCGAAGTCCTTGGTCGATCTGCAATCAGGCACGTGATAGTTCTCGGAGTGAAGTCAGACTATTTATGTCTCAAAACCGCTTATGGTATACCGTAGTATATCATTCAGCCCCTCCTCGATAGGCCAACTATAACTCGGCTGCATGGCTCAAAGTGTGATTCCCGCCCATCTCGGGCCTACGACATCATCAATCCCGGCCAGCTTGAGATATCATATAGTCGGCGATAATCATAGCATGATGATATTTCGGTAGGATTTTTTCCCCCTATCAACCACTCCCATATCCACAGCGTACTATTTATTATCATCTATCTGCTCCTATTCATTCCACGAGAAACCAGAGAGCACTACACGAAGCACAAGTAAAAAAGTAAAAGAAAAAACAATGTCTCAGTCGAAATGGGAACAAATCTCGGCCAAAGCAAGACAAAAAGTCCTGGACGATATTCCCGCAGAGTGGAAAATCCCTCAGGAGAAATTGCCTGGAGATGATATCCGCGATGTGACTGGTGTGGCAGCATCCAGTGGAATTTTGAGTGAACGGGAGCTCGCCATTACAGATTCTCTGGCGACGGAGATTGTAGCCAAAGTTGGCACGGGAGAATGGAAAGCAGAAGAGGTGACGGTTGCATTCTGCAAAAGAGCAGCTCTCGCCCATCAAGTGGTACGTTATTGTTGTAACAAAATGCATCGAAGATTGTTCTTCTTCCTCTCTCCTTCCCCCCCCCCCCC